TACTAGAGAGACACCAATGGCTGGAACTAAATTCCTTGTACATGTCAACATACTTGGCCAATAATTCTGGTTCTGATGGCAGTCCAAGATAGGCTAGTGTTCTTTATGTCTTTATAACAGCTAGACCAGATTTTCACAAACATCTTCAGCAAATCACTGGAACTTTGCTCTGTTTTAACCTGCATTAAAACCTCAGCCATCATTCCAGTCCCTTCAAAAAACATTATTATTTTACTTAATGACTACAGACCAGTAGCCCTGACGTCTGTAGTCGTAAAGGTCTTTAAACGGCTGGTCCTAATCCAACTGAACGGTTTGTGGACTTCAGCTTGGCTTTCAACACCATAGTGCCAGAGCTGCTGCAGGTCAAAGTGTCCCAGCTGTTGGTGCCAGATCCCAACTGCCACAAACAGGAAACAACAGGTGCAGCTTGGGAAACACACATCAGATCCCAGGACCCTCAGTACCGCAGTACCACAGGGTTGCATACTCCCACCCCTTCTCTTCAGTCTCCACACCAATGAGTGTGTCTCCATAGAACAAGCTGTGTAGATCCTGACGACACCACTTTGGTGAGCCTCAGAGCAGGGATGCCTACAGAAAGGAAGTCGAGCAGCTGGTGTCCTGGTGCAGCAGCAACCACCTGCTGCTCTACACACAAAAGACTGTAGAGATGGTGGTGGACTTCAGGCGTCACCCTGCTTCCCTACTCCACCATCAACATCACAGGCCCTGTGGTTTCCACTCAAGTTCTTGGGCACCACCATATCCAGGGACCTGAAATGGGAGAGGAACACTGTCTTCATCACCAACAGAGCACAGCAGAGCATGTTCTTCCTCAGACAGCTGAAGAAATTTAACCTACACAGAGCCTGATGATCCAGTTCTACACAGTGATCATCAAGTCCATCTTCAAATCATCCATAACCATCTGTTTGGGTTCCTCCACCTCACAAGAACGAGCCAAACTCCACTGCATTAGAACAGCGGAGAGGATCATTGGATGTAGTCTGTCAACGTTTAGGATATCTACAACAGCAGGTTGATGAAGCATGCCGGCAAAATTACAGCTGACCCCTCTCATCCTGGACATGACCTCTTCCAGACACTTCCCTCTGCTAGAAGATTCAGGGCCATCAAAACCAGCACAGCCAGACATGCCAACAGCTTTTTCCTCAGAGTTGAAGCTTATTAACCACAGTGGACAACTTGTACTTTAATTTTAAACTAAAACCAACAAATCTTCCTCGCTGTTTTACAGTGTAACTTCTCTGTAACATACTGGTTATTTGTACAGCTGTACAAATGTTCATTACATCCTGTAATATTCTGTGCATAATAGTTATTATAATATAATATGTAATATAACATAATATAATGCTCAGTCCTACTCCAGACGAGTCAGATCTCCCAAGATTACTGCACATCCAGGAATGTTGACACATTGTTTATTCCTTTCAAAAACATGTTGCTGGTCCATGATGTAATATGTGCTCTTTCTTGTTTTGTATTATTCCTCTGCCCAGCAGAACCTGTTTCCCCAAGCCTGCGATCCCCGAGCTGGAGGAGGTCATCTCTGGGCGCCCCGGCAGATGGTCGCCTGTCCCGCAGTAAATCAGACCTGCTCCCCCCTCACCCTGCCCAGGTCACCCCAACCCGGGTCAATCCCTTCTCCCAGCGGCACGACCTCAACGGCGGACGTATCAAACTCTTCGACACACCGAGCAAATCTGTCATCTCTCTCACCTTCACCCTGCCCCCGCCACCTGACCCTTGTAGCCCCACCCACTGCAGGAAAGCCCCGCCCCGGCTCCACAGACGCTGCCAGTCATTGCCCTGCACTCCAGATGACATCCAGTCGTTGAGAAGTAGCAATGAGAGTGATGCGCAAGAGTGCAACCCTATCGTAAGAAACCCAGAAGTTAATCAGGAGATGGCTAACAGTCACAACCTAAGAGATATGGACAGCGACAGTGTAGTCAACATGTACACTGAGATTGAACATGATAGTGTGTTCAGTACTCCAACAGACACTCGTACTGGTGACACACACATCCTACACGCCACAGACAGCATCTTTTCTATTGGGCCTGGATCTCCTCATGATTTCCAAAGACCAAACTGTCTGTTGGATGCACCAGAGGTGGGAGGAAATGTACGAGAAATTATTATAAAAGACTCCATTCAGGAAGAACTGGAAGAGGGGCAGGAGGAGGAGGAAGAAGAAACTAAGATGAAGGGTTTTTGCCTTCCAGCTGATGACTCAGGTCTTCCCCTAGAGCTTGAGTTAATGTCATTAGACAGGCTGACTGAGGAGAGTGTGGAGGAGGGAATGGACTGCAGCAGTTCCTCCAATACTCCAGATGGCGTTGTTCCTGATTCACCTGATCCAAAGACCTTCACGAATGGCTGGAGCCCCCCCATACTGAATGGACCCCCATCTTTACCCCCTTTACCCGATTTGGACAACAACAACAGTGAGGTGGCGCCTTTGGGCCTGGCTGTGAATGGTAGCCGTGGTGCCACGACTCCCTTGACGCCCCCTGAACCAGAAGAAGTTGTAGCCTGTTCTGGCTGCTGCCTGGCAGCCTTCAGTTTTCCGTCCATGTGCATGCGCGGAATGCGCCGGAACCCGTACAAGAACTTAAACAGAGATTCGGCCACGAAGAGGCTGCTGTGCAGAGCCCAGCTGTCTTCTCCTGCTGAGCCTGGCCTCGCTCTGCCCAGCACGCACACATAAAGGTGGACTCTGGTCATTTATCATTGATCATAACCCAAAAGGCACCTTACAAATTCATGCTATGGCTTCTTGCGCAGAGAAGAAGTGTTGATTAACGTGACGGGTCACTTAGTGATAATCTCCACAGACAAAAAATACTCGCATACATCTTTTCTTCTCAAGTATTTGGTTAAGTATCTAATTTCTTTAATGTCTGCCCCAATCCTGTCTGGTAAAGCTTACACCAGTCTCTTGAGATCCTGTCCATTTTAGCCAATTCTTCCACTAAATTTGTGCTTTAGTCTGAGCTGTCTGAGCATTGACATTCCCACATTCCAGCATGATGACTGTAGGGTGCCTGTATGTGACTGAATCAGCAGACATGATGGAACACTGGGACATTTTGAATGACCAGCAAAATCACCAGGCCTCCAGTCAGATTCACAGTCTGGAGAAGTAGGTAAAATACTGAAATAGGCGCACATAAATATAGCTGAAATGTGCACCCAGCTAGTGGAAGAGTAGCCTAAAATAGACTGGAACTTGCTTAAATGACTGATGTAATCCCTACTTGAAATGACTCATGCTGTTATTAAGGTAAGGGGGACACATAACCAAGGATTAGAGAAGAAATGATGCATGTGACAGATGTTTTGTCTAGCGAGCTGATGTTTCAATAAAAACGCCCCCGTCTTCTAACTTGAATGTGTCCACTGGCCCTCAGGGGTTGGACAGTCTCTTAAGCAAATGATGTCTTATTTAGGGTTGGGTAGTATAACGGTCATAAGATATACTGCAGTATTTAAAAATGATGACAGTATTTCGTAATTATGAAATTATAACGTGTCATTTCCATTTCACATCTGAACAGCCAAATAAACACATTGCACCTGTTTATATTTTTGGATCAGGCTTACTGATTAGTGGTGTGGGTTGACTGATGGGTGGCAGTGATAGAGGAGAGGAAAGTCCAGGCAAGGAAAACCATTGAAAAACTAAGTATAACAGTGGCTAAGCGACAGCTAAGAGCAACAAACACCACAGAACACATTTGATTTTGACTGTCACTCTAACACCAGTCACTCTCAGATATCCTCTAACTGGTGTCATTTAAGCATCAATTGCTGGAACCAAACCTCTGCTGTGCTGTGTGACACATTTGGCCTGCTAACTATGCTAATGTTACATTAGCCAAAATGCTACAGTCCCAAACACCACAAAACAGATTTCAGCTTCGTCATTCCAACACCAGTTCTTCATCTTTTGCTCTCTCTGACATTCGTTTTTATTGTCTACACTTGTTTCAGCACTTGTTTCTGTGGTGGGTGGAACCAGTCAGGCTGCAGGCCCACACAACAAGTAACGGGCTTCATTTCTGTCCTTTCAGCACCAGTTGCTCAACTTCTCTCCCTCAGATTTGAGTTATTATAACGAAGACTTGTGTTTCTGCTTTAGTTAGACAGAATCAAATATGTTTTGTGGTGAGCAGAGCTTTTATCTTGCTAGCTAAGCTGATGCTAACCAGCTCCTCTCTCAAAGTTAGCAGCATCTAACATTTAGCAATTGTTAGATAGATGGTTTGACATTCATTGAATGAGGCTTGAAAATCATGCAATGCGTTGTTATCTGGTGACCATGTACGCAAACTAAAGTTTTTGATTATTTTTTTGTTTGAAATAATGCAGAACAGGATGCCACAAAAGTGATACAGATGCTCTTATGTCACTTCTGTCAACCCCCCCCCCCAACCACCACCACCACAACCACTGGTAATATCTTGTACCACAGTAATATTTGGAAATTGTTTTAAGGTATGAAACAAGAGGATACCACCCAACCCTAGAGGACTGTTGTAAATATGAATTACTGTAATGTTTCTGATACCACAGTTGAGCTGTTGATATCAACCATGAAACGAGGAGGTGCTGCTCAGTTGTGCACCTTACTTTGTTGTATGTGGAGAGAGTGAGAAACCCTAAATATTGAGTAATAACTTATTTTCTTTTCTGTTTGGTCTTTATTGCCTTGCCTTTCTGTAATGGCACTTGAGGTGCTGATTATTGTTATGCTTACTATTTTGAACTTTATAAAGAATGCAACATTTCAGAGGATGTAAAAAATTGTTGAAATGTATTATTTTAATAATTGAAAGTAAATGACATTAAAATATAATTGGTAACTCCACTAGAGAGAGCTGTTGTGTCTTTCTGTCTGTCACTCTCTCTCTCTCTCGCTCTCGCACTCTGACGTATATGTGGCAGTTTTGTGGCTGTACACTGAGTCTTATACTGTGGTCGTGTTATCTTTTCGACCTCCATCCTGGGGAAGGTGAGCTTGCCAAAACCCTCTACTTTTGTTTCACTCTCGCGGTTGAACTGAAGTGCTGTGCTTCTGTCAGTATAACTTTTACACTTGTATTGGCTGAGTGGTGTCTGGTGTAAGTTGTGCGTGACTGTGTTTGAATATGTTCCATATCTGAACAGCAGTGTGATCATTTGGCTAAAACGTTCCATTCCCGTGGGTTTGGCGTACTTGTGGTGATGCCAGCTGCTCTCTCAGCCCTCGGCCTGCTCTGTGTGATGCTGAGAGTGGGTGAGTGTGTTTGTTTTTCAGAATGGCTCTAGTTTTGTCTTTCTCACTACCTGTCTCTTATAGAACATACAAGTAAAAAAAAGATTGTGTGAGGATGCAGAACCACCTTCAAAATTGATAAAAATGATAGCATGTTTATTTAGTTGTGCGAGTTAAGCTTCTTTCATTCATAACACCTGTACACAGTATAGCCGTATGCAAAAGTTTGATCACCTCTGGTTAAGTGATGTGTTTATTTTCTAAGTGAAAATAAGTTAACATCCTCTACAGAGAGTACACTTAAATATGGCACTTTTTGCCAATTTTAGAACTTTAGAATTGAATTAGATAAGTCAGATGATACCATTCGTACACAGTACTGTGCAAAAAAAATCACTTAATGTATTTAGTTTCTGGTCAAAACAGAAATTTAAGTACAAGTTATTCATTTTCAGGTGATTTTTCACAGGAATTAGATATAAAATAATCCATTTGCATTCAGAAGAACGAAATTAAAGAAAAATGCGTGAAAAACAACTGCTGTTTAGAAATGATTAAGATATAGAGAAAATGGGACTCCTAATAACCCTGCAAGACCTGGTAGACCACCAAAACTGTCCCCATCAGATAAACAGCACTTAAAGCTTTCATCTTTGAGAGAGCGGAGAAAATCTAGCTCTACTCTTGATGCAGATCTGAAAAAATCCACAGGTGTTTCTGTCTATCATTCCACTGTGAGAAGACAACGCTAGGAGTCTGAAAGGATGCGTAGCTGACAAGAAGCTATTGCTGAGAAAGGGAAATGGACGAAAAAAAAAAAAAAAACATTCACAAATCAAACATAGAAACTGCTGGTGTTCTCAGAGCAATGGACTGACCACCCCAGACCTCAACATCATTGAATGTGTTTGGGATTACTCGGATTTTGAGAAGCAGAAAATGCATCCAACTTCTAAGACTCCAAAACTTGGGAGGTGTGGAAAAGTGTCGCTGCAGTTTTCTGTGAAAAGAGTCTCCAGAAAAGAATGGAAGCTGTAATAAGCAAAGGGTGAAAACAGTAAATACTGAAAAATGTAAACCAGTTTTTGAGGTCTAATTTCATTAAATGAGGGTAATTTCATTAGATTAACAAAGAGTGTGTCTAACGTTTGCACAGTACTGTGTAGAGATGTATGTTTAAGTATAAATTTGAAATACGCAGTGCGGTTCAAAAGTCTGAGAACAATAGTCACATCGCTTCTGTTTTTCTCTTTATCTTGATACAAAGATTTTCATTACAAATTCTGTTTTTAGCATAACAATTGAATAAAACAAAGTAGAATCTTTGAAATGTCCATTTTTTTTATGTTTAATTTAATAAAATTTAAATTTTGGGTTTCAGTGTTTGTTAGTGTTTGATACATCCTTCTTGTGCTTTACTGACAGCGTGACTCGAGCAGGCACAGACTTCAGAAGTTTGTGCAAAAGCCTCTGATTAGTACAACAAACCCACCTTAGAGTTGTCTGAACATGTGTTTCAATGGAAGGAATAAGACTAAAAATATTTTTGTACAAAGGCCTCAACAGTGTCACAGATTTGCTTAAATTTGAATAGCGACCTTGAAATAGCACAGAATCTTGAATATTTCTTCTTAATTTTACTTTCATTTTACTTTACATTACAAAAAAAGAAAAAAGTCCCAGAATTTCATTGTGGTCTCAGACTTTTTGTACCCCACTGTGTGTATATATAAATATTTGAATTTATCAATGTTGTGAAAATGAAAATATGATTTTTTTTTGTGTGTGTGTGTGCGTGTGTGCGTGTGCGTGTGTGTGTGTGTGTTAGGGCCCTCTTTCTCGTCCTGCACTCCCAGTGTGAGCACACTGGATTTAGGCTGTCATCTACAGTGGAACTGTTCTGATGTGAGCTCCAGCACGACCTTCACCGTCCAGACGATGGCTCAAGGGTGTGTGTGTGTGTGTGTGTGTGTGTGTGTGTGTGTGTGTGTGTGTGTGTGTGTGTGTGTGTGTGTGTGTGTGTTCACAGGCAAACTGCTAACCACAGTTTCTTTCTCACTGTGATTACTGTGATCGCGTGAGCTGATAAGCCACATAAAATCTGGCTGTGTAGCACCCGCATGCTGTAATGGATGCACCACCGTCAGTCAACGTCTGATTAATCATAAATGCACATTACCCTGGTAACAATACACCACGCACATGAAAAACAGAGAATGATGGAAAAGAAAGGGGGGTGAGGTGATGCGAGAGCTGGAACTGACAGTGCATCTCAGCCTCCTGTGAAACTGCCGTGTGGTTTAGCTCAAAGCCACAGCGTGGGCTCCATCCCTGTGTGTGTCTCTGAGTACATATGTGTGCACCTGCTCTCCTCCTGTTGTCTCAGAAACCAAAAAGAAAAGAAACTCGCATTAGTTTGCTTTGACTCAGCCCTGTCTGCTTGAAGTGGAGGCAGTTCAAATGAGGGTGTTTTTTTGAGGAAATGGAGATAATCAGTCAAATTCAGAGTGAAGATGGTATAGTGAATTTGCAACTTTTTCCTCCAAAGAAACAAGAACTTTGCAGAATGAATAATCACTTAAGGGTCAGCAAATGTATGTAAGGCTGTCACAATTAATTAAACTCAGCTTATCAAATAAAAAAACATTAAAAATGTACCTTCTTAGTAGTTAGTTAGCAAATTGGTTGATGATGCATATTTTAAGTCCTCGTCCTGCCTGACTGACACGCTCATTGTTGGAGATTTAAAAATTTTTGAGTATTTCTGTCGTTGAGATGTAAACAAAGTCTTTTAGAGCTTTTGATGTGAAATTGTTCATTGTACAGAAACATACGTACTCAGATTTCTTTACAGTGGTGGTGATAAGAACTACAGTGTCCTGAACACAAATCTAGCAATTTTATTTGCCAACCAAAATGATCAGTGAACCTACATACTCTGACTTTTCACATTGTCGCTGTCAGAATAAAACCTCCTATCTCAAAACAAAAAGTAACATCACAGGAGAATGAAAAAGCAAACCACCAAGTTTCAGGGTAATGTATATTATTCTAAGCCATTTTTGACCGTTTCTGTTAGTCTGTTCGTCATTAATTTTGACATTGTGTGGGTGACGGCTGCCATTTTAGAAGTATGTAAATTCATGAAAAACCATGAATATTTAGATATGAGGTTTTGTTTTGACAGTGACTGATGATGATACTGGTGAAAAAAGTTTCCTTTGGGTTCCCTTTTTCCTTACAACACCTTCTCCTCAGGCTGTAGGCTGTTTAATGTAGTCACTTTCTGTGAAGTAGCTTTTAGACATAGACCACTAAACTCTTCAGACGTCTGGTTCCTATCATCACTGTTTCAAAAGAAATTCTGACTCCAAGTTTCTCTGCACCATTTATCTTTGTCCAGTAAAGTATTCTGATATCTTTGAAAGGCTGTGCATTGTTTTTGTTGATTTAAGTCAATTTTTTTTGTTTGGCTTTTTGCAAACCTCTGAATACTCAATTAATCATCAAAATAACCATTAGGTGATAGTTACAGCCCTTGTGTACATTGTGCTGTATTGCTTGTTTTGCAGGGAAGAGTGGCAGAATGTGTCTGAGTGTTTCCAGATCTCCTCCTACAGCTGTGATGTGTCTCAGGCTTTCACAGACTTTGTTGTCTTTAACTTAATCAGACTGGAAATCAACCATGGACATGGAGAGATTCAGCGGACCTCAACACAGCTCTGCGACCCCCTCAAAGACTGTACGTACCAGGGCTTTACTATGCTGTTTACTCTTTGTACATGTTACCTTTTATACATCCACATAATAATAATAATAATAATAATAATAATAATAATATCAATAATGATAATAATAATGATAATAATAATGATAATATTCATAATTGCTTATGGTCTCTAATAAGTACTTATGGTCAACGATAAGGCCTGGCTCACAGTTGTTGTTCCAGTTCATCCCAAAGTTGTTGGATAGGGTTGAGGTCAGGGCTCTGGGCAGGACACTCAGATTTTTCCACACCAAACTCAGCAAATCATGTCTTAATGGACCTTGCTTTGTGCACGGAAGCCATTGTCATGCTGGAACAGGAAAGGTGCTTTCATGAACTGTGCCACAAATTTGTGCTACAGCGTGACTCGAGCAGGCACGGACTTCAGAGGTTTGTGCAAAAGCCTCTGATCAGTACAACAAATCCGCTTTAGAGTTGTCTGAACATGGGTTTCAATGGAAGGAATAAGACAACAAATATTTTTGTACAAAGGCCTCAACAGTGTCACAGATTTGCTTAAATTTGAATAGCGACCTTGAAATAGTGCAGAATCTTGAATATTTCTTCATTTTACTTTCAGGGGCTTCCACGAACTGTGCCACAAATTTGCAAGCAAACAATTCTCTACAATCTCATTTTTTGCTTTAATATTAAGATTTCCTTTCACTGGAACTAGGGGGCCAAGCCCAAACTCTGAAAAACAGTCCAGACCATTATCCCTCCTCCACCAAACTTTACTGTTGGCACTATGCATTCCAGTAGGTAGCGCTATCCGCCAAACCCAGATTCGTCCATCAGATTGCCAGATGGTGAAATCATAATCACTCCTGAAAAGCATTTCCACTGCTCCAAAGTCCAACAGCACTGTGCTTCACACCACTTCAGCTAACACTTGGCATTGTGCATGGTGACCTTTTGCTTATGTGCAGATGCTTGGCCATTGAACCCAATCCATTAAGCTCCGTACACACAGTTCTTGGCACTTGTTAGTGAGTGTCACAACCGAGGACAGACAATTTTTCCACACTATTTGTTAGTACTTGGTGTTCCTCTCTTGTGAGCTTGGGCCACTTCTAAGCTTTTCTTGCTCCTAGACCTTTCTACTTCAAGTAACATCACTTACAGTTGACCAGGGTAGCTCTAGCAGGACAGAAATTTAATGAACTGACTTAGAAGGTTCTATCACAGTGTATACAAAATAAATAATTGGAATATGGTTCACAGCTCTCAGCTCATATTTATCATCCAACCATCCAGCTGAAATATTTAACCACATTTGTTTAATATAACAATTAAACAGCAAATAGCTACCACAAATCAATTGACAGGATTGTATTATGTACATTTGGAGAAGATGTATTTTTATCTAGTAATATTTCAAACAATATAGTGACCTTCATGCTTAATACTTGTTCTTTTTACATAAAGCCGATGATGATGATGATGATGATGATTAATATTATTAGCAATAAATTCTCACAAAGTATTTATTATAAGTAAAACAAAAAAGTGAGTTTGTGATGTTTGTTTCTCTGTGGCTGTGCAGCAGATGCAAGGTTCAGCCCTCCCTCTGTCTCCGTCTCTCTGAAGGAGCGCAGGCTGCAGGTAGAGGTGGCTTTGCCTTGTGCTCCTCCTGTGGCCTGTGAAAGCGTGGAAGAGGAAGAGGAAGATGACAAAAACACAGCTCTGAGCTGCTGTCCCCTCACCCACTTCCTCAAACCCAATATCACAGTGACGCTTTACAACAAACACGATACAGCTGATACTCAGGTGTCAAAACTCTGCTCTGCTTTTGTTTCCTCTCTAAAGCAGTGCTTTACCCAGAAATGCTGCTCTTGCTAATAACGAAAGAAAGCCAGTACAGCCCTAGGGAGCTTTATGTAAATGCAGGGGTGCTGTCTTGGCTCTAAACTGATAGCCTTTACATGTATTTATTTATTTATAAGTATTTGGGGTTTTTGCCGAAAAACCTGGGGCCTTATAACAGAAAGTTCCTATCTTTATTTCCAAATTAAGATCTGATGAGGTCAAGTTGAATGAAATTTGCATTACAGACACAAATTCTGTCTTCATCTAGGAATTCTGTACTGACGCCCATTATATGATATGGGCACTGTCACAGTATTCTTAACTTCCAGTTTGTTGCACTTTAGTTTTGTTTTGACACTGTTTTTACATCAATAATGCAACTTCTGCATTAGGGATACACTGTATCATGCTAACCTTGAACGTATTTGATTGACTTCAAAAGGTTCCACTCTAAGATTTAATGAAATATGGCAACCCCTTTTTACCAATGTGAAAAATCCACTGAGATGTAACTAAAGGGCTGATCCCCACTAAATGCCATCTTCCCACCATCTTTCTGAGTTAAATAGAATATTCTCATTCATACTAAAACTGTGACTTAGTTAATAATGGTAATAGTGTGTGTGTGTGTGTGTGTGTATAATGTCCTTCAGAATTGGGTTAGAAATGAGCATTGTAAAATTGAATGAATGCAAGTATTCCAGAAGCAGATGTCTGAATAGGAAAAGGCTGATTTTGAGAAAAATGATTTTAAGATTGGGCTTCAGAACTGCTTTACCCTTTGAGATCTCAGAAGACATTTGTGGACATGCTGTCATTATTACAAAGACAAGAGACATATTTGAATGTTCCTTAGATTCTATTTAGATTCTAAAGGAAAAAACCTTTCGGTGATATCTGAGATGTCATGGTTGTATAAAGGGTGGCAGAACTGAGTCTAGATTAATGTTGGAAAATACAGGTAGAAGATGTGAGTAGATAAATTGACAAAACATGCTGAAATAACCATAAATCTGTGGGGTCTGATATTTTTGAGTGTAGGACATTGTAAAGCTGCATTTTACTTCTGCCTGTAGTGTCTTGACTTAAACTGGGAGACAATTATATTGTTATATTTCAGAAATGAATTCTGAAATTCTAATATGGGGGAATTGTTCATGTGAAACTCTATTGTTCTTGTTTTTTTTACCCATCATTCTGCTTCCTCCCTGATTTCTTTTGTAGACTCTCACTAGGGTGTTTGAGAGGAGTCAGGAGAGTCTGGAGTTTGGTTCGCTGGTGGCGGGTCAGGAATACTGCGCTGTGGCCCGCTTTGCTTCCTCACCCCCCTCTGACCCGCAGTGTGTTCATGTCTCATCAGCAGGTAAATCATGCTCTCTGCTGTGTCCTCAGTTAGACACTTGCCTGCATATTCCACGCTTTCAATGATCAATAAAAGCATTAGGACTTTTTGGCAGTAAATGCTTTTTTTGGCTGGTCATAACTTATCACAATAGCCAAAACAGCACTTTTTTGGAATAACATGGATGTTGGTATCTGTGCATGTTTTCCAGAAAGCCTGTACCTAGCGGCGCTGTGTGGGGTGCTCATTGCTCTTCTTCTCATTGCAGTGTGCGTACTGGGGAGACAGTGTGCGTCATCAGACACCCGACTCCCAAAATCTCTGGTACTATATTCACACAAGAGTTTTGTTTTAGTAGAACAGATCTGAAGAGCAGATCTGAATCAGCTCTGCAGGCCTGGTCTACCACAATGTAACAGTACTCTTATGACACAGCAAAATAAATAATGCAAATAATATGTCATTTAGCAAGGTTTAATCAAGCAGTAAGCCACCCGAGGAGGCTCTGTCTGAAATTTAGAGATGGTAAAATCACTGTAATGCACAACCTTGAGTGAATTAAAGCCTATGTTTTTCATTTTAATAAAACTGGTTGTCAGAGTCAAGTCAGAGTCCAAAACACATTTCAGATTTGGACTTTAGACTGCAATTCTTTTACTTTCAGTGACCCTATGCCTTAATTAAAAAAATGGGTTTGAACATTCTATTTTGTCACTAACAAAAACGATCATAACTATGGAAACTTTGCCAAATGTTTCGGTAATGACAATTTTAGCTAATTTTGAGCAGAACTTAAAAAAATGCTAGCCAGTAAATGACTAGCAAACAAAGCTTTGAACAGCTGTACACACATAAAATCATAATGTTTTTCTTTAAAGTACAAAAAGTTTCTTAAATTGCAAAAAAACATGTTTCGGTAGTGACAATTCTTAATGTTACACACTGATTTTCAGACTTTAAGACACTTCTTCCTTAAAACATCCCTCCACAAGTCTGAAAGGATGTGTAGCTGTCAAGAAGGCATTACTGAGAAAAGAATGGGCAAAAAACGTCTGACGTGAGGGGTGAATTACTCTAAATCTGTAATTGGGATCACTAGGATCATGAGAAGCAGAAAATACAACTAACAACTAACAACTAACTAAGACTGAACTTTGGAGGTGTAGCAAAATACCTGAAAGAATAGATGCTGTAATAAAGGCAAAGGGGTTCACAGTAAACAATGAAAAAGCTGATTTTTCTGGTTAGTTCTTGAGGCTCCTGTGTAAGTTTCTGCTAAATCTCTGTTTTTTGCTCTTTTCCCTGAATTTTGCTCAACAGTGTACATTTGTAATATTTCCTTAGTTTTTATGTTGTGGATGTGTGTGCAGATGTCTCTACAGAATATGGATCATGAGTCCCCATTTGTGGGTGAATTTGAGCAAGCAGCACCAGAAGATGAAGAGAACTCAGTGGTTCTCCTGTCCATTGTACCATTCTCCAACCTGTCTACTCTTTCAGAGACCCAGTTGACCCGTTCCCACTCCCACAGTCTTGGGAATGGGTATTACGCTTCACCCATTCTGCAGCACCAGGCTTTTGATGAAGACGGAGATGGGGGGTCTAACGTGGAAACGGATGGAGGTGCATCTCCAGATCATTATCCAGGGCATCTATGGCCGTCAGATCAAACTCACACAACAGGCCCAGCATGTTCACAGGAAGCCTCTCCTCATCAGGGTGATTCATGCATCCCTTTGAGCTCTGTGAGAGTAGCCGGGGCTCAGAAAGAAGAGATGGAGCTGGATGACTTCCCCAAAATACTTATGAAAGTGAACATTCGTGGTGGTTCACCGTGAGTGGCTGATGGAGATCATGGAAAATGGAAAATGAACTTAATGATGTCTTTCCATATCAAACTTGGATGGGCATTGGCTTGATCCAGGCCATACTGAAAGAACAGTAAACAGGTCCAGTCTATCTGCACAGGATCACCGTCTCCCATTATATGAATGGATGGCTCTTACCCTTTCTCATGAAGGAGACGGAGAAGGAGGATTTCTCTGGTATAAAAATGCATTCAGATTCTTGAATCTGAAGGTGGTAATTGAACTGCTTTGATTTTTGAAACTAAAAATCAGTAAAGTTTGCTCACATTTTAAGACAAAATTACAAGTCTCAGGCTATTTTCAAAAGCCAAAATCCAACATTTGGTGTGTTGTGTGATCCATATTCCACTAGTCTATATTCCACTACTAAACAGTTTGTGTACTGACTGTATGTTTTTTGTTAAATAATTATAAATAACACCCAAATAATAGAGATGAATCACATCATGAATTTTTGAGATTTCATGATGGCTTGAATAATCTAAAGAATCGGAATAAAATAGGGTGGTTTTAAAGTCAGAGATTTACTCCTTTTCTCAGTAATGCCTTCTAGTCCCATTTTCTCTGTATCTTTTAATATTTAACAATTTTTGGAAGCTCTGCCTCCCCCCACTTATTTTATCTGTCTAGGTAACTTATATCTAATATCCAATTTAAAGATATATAATTTCCTCAGAAATATTATCAGCAAAATGAATAATGCTTTGACTGGAAATTAAATAAATGAAGTGTGGTCACTGACTTCTCCACAGTACAGTGTAGAAACCATAATGACTCAAAGAACCATTTGACTGTTTAAATGGTTCTTCTTCGTGATCGTAACCTGTTGTATATGGTTCAGTCAGGTCAAATAACCTTTTCTTGGAACTAAAGCTACTTTTTGCTAAAAGTGTACACGTTTCACAGAATACTGATTGTGAGCTAAACCTTCCATCATATATGACCATCAGTCTGTTTTGTGTAGTTGGGAGTTGGGTCATGACCTTGTACATATGGAGTCATTTTCTGCTTACTGTGTATGTGTCAGCTCAGTATGTTTTATGTAAGAATAAATCAAATAAATGGTAAATGGAAAGGCCCTCGATCTGTTGGACACTGTTAATGGACTCCAGATTTGCTGTTGGTTTTGGGATACCCCCATACAGCTGTGTGACTCATTTCTGTAGGCTGCTATAAATTCTCTCCCCTTGGGTTCGAACCCCCCCGTGAACTCAAACGTTCTCATGGGCAAACATTAGCGGGGGGGGCATACACTCTTTTGGATTTCTATAGCTTGTGTTTTTTTCCCCATCTTTCAACTCACTGACTCAACATTGCCTGTCATGGCTTCGTTTTCTGTGGCCCATGTAGCGCAATTCACCTAACGTGTGCACTTTTTTGCTAAATCTGGTCTGAAAACCAGAATAGGCTCTGAAGAGCAAGCGGGTTTTGAGAAACTGTGCATTTTTGGCTTTAATTATGATTGTCCTGTTGTGTATTTTGCCCCCCACTAAACTGTTTGACTTCTGGGTGCATTGAACTTTTCAAGGTTTTTGAGCTCAAATTGCTCTTTGGTTTCTGCTCCATTTCATGCTGATTAATCCAGTGGAAAACATCAGCTGATTTGCTGCTCTGTCGTTTGGCAGTAAGGGGTTTTATGGTTTTATGCCACTATGACCTTTGTGATGAAGCCTGCAGCAAATTATTCCACCAGCAGATTAAAGTATGCAATGTGTAAATCAAAAATGGAGATGCCAAATCTCACGACACTAAAGACCGGTGTTTTAAATGTCAAGTTTCAAGTTGACCAAATTCAAAGGCAGGAGAGCGATAGAGAGAGGAAACAAGCGCTGCTTTAATAAAGCCACAACCCACAGGCCTGAAAAACACCCGATGACAAACGAGAGAACAACTGCAAAACAAGTGTAAGTAACAGAAAGAAGGTAGGGGGGATGCCCTGAATCTGAAGGATTTATATTAATTTGATGATGTTTACTAATGTGCAGCTCTGTTTAACACTTGATGTGGCTTTTTTCAGCGCATACACTGAAAAGACAAATACAGTTTGACTAATTTTACAGGTCTAGATGTCACCTGTTGAGTCTGTGGGTTTTCTGGGTAAAGTGTGGAGCTTTTTTCTGATTTTTTTCTTTTTGTTTTTTTAACTATAATACACTTCGTGAATCAATGTGTATGTTTTCCTATCATGTAAACAGTGTGTTTAGCCACACTGTCCCTTCAATATAGAGTATATTAGGTATAATTCATTTATTCTTTTGTTGTATGTTCTAGGGTAAGGTGATTAATAAAATTGAGTACCAAAACACACGTGCCTCTATTGAGTTTTTTTGCGGTAGACTGACTCACTGGATGAGTCACTCTCACCTCAAAGCTACATACAGAACCTTATGTGAATGTTAAAAATAACCACTCATCACTGAATGAACACTGTTAAAACTCCGTTTCACACCTTATCGCCTCTTTGAGGTGAAGATATTTGGCTCTGAAGCCAGTATTTTGTTCATTGTACTTTTTTTTTGGGAAGAACTTCAGCACCAGTACACTTTAAATGTCAAGTTTCAACACCAGCATGTAATTAAGAGCCTTACAAAACAGGACTTCTTGCTTAGCCAGCTAACTTTTAGCTTGGCCTGCTTTTTACTACATCAGCATCTTGTGCTGCATGCCTAAGCTTAAGTTTGTGATCTAAGGACAGACAGAAGTGGACCCCAACTGTCACTTCAGGATGTGGTGTCACATGAACAACATCACTTTTTTTAGCAGAAGAAGCCATACTACATAGATATTCAGAATATAAAGCAGTTGAACACCCCTGTGTGTAGTAATAGCTAGTCCTGGTGTCCGGCGCAGTTTGGTAGATTCCCTACTCAAACACACCCACTAAACCTGTCAATTAACAGAGGAGTGTAATCAGGTCAGATTTGAGCAGGTAAATAACCTGCTCAAAGCAGTAATGCAGTAGTCTTTTTAGTGTTTGTTTTACTATCTACAGGTTTATGCAGATTTCTTAGAAAAATAAGCTGTTCATCTTTCACATGATTAGCTGTTCTTCATAAACCTCATGCTTTCATGAGCATATGCATGAGGATTAATGATGAGCTGAGTATCTAAACCCAGGTTAACAGAGAAAGTTGTTAACCACCTCCATAAAACGAGTTAACTAACCGTTCTGTTTGTTAGGGTTTTATGAAGCTGTAACTTAGTCAGGAACTCTGTCCATGTTGAACCTGCTTCATGAGACAGACCCCTGGTCTGATTAGGATGTGAACATATCAATTAATCTCTGACATCAACTTGTTTCTTATTAATATTTCTTAGGTTTATATGTCTGTGTTTGTTCATTGGACTAAATATTGTTTATCTGTTGGGAGTGTGTGGGAATACCCACTGTCTTGTGATTGAATGAACCCAAATTAGAAAATATATTCAGTAAAAATAACAAAAGACAAAACCACACCTTTTTTGTGAAATCTGCAAGTTAGTATCTATATTTGACCAAGAGTTTTTTTTTTTTAATTACATAAACAGTGCAATATAATTTCATAGAGTATGTATAATATTTACAGAAAATTCAACAGTGCCCAGACCGCAGAGTTTCCAGGGGGGGAAAGTTGACGGCACATACATGAACTGAGTTGTTCTTGGCACCCTTCTATCCCTCCACTCACATTTGTTCTCTTCTGCTTACATTACTATGGCAACATCTGTCCACTTCCAAGTTTCGGCCACCAGAACACCTTCTCACCTGCGCCAGTACTGTTGGGGAGAACGTAAAGCATTAGCAGGTTAAAGAGCTGAACAGAGGAAACCCTCAGCACAATCGAAGGTGCACTTTTTATAATAGATCTTGCCTCAAAGCAGCTTTACAGAAATAAAGTTTAGGAACAACTCATTAACCCCATGAAACCCAGCATCCATGCACTGGCTCTCTTCAGATAAGGCACATACACTTCTTTACCTGAGCAAATTTGTGTATCTGTTCCACCACAGCAGCAAACAGAGCTCCCACACTCTCATCTATTAGACTCTGCATGTAGTGAACGGCCTCCTCATCTGACAGGTCCAGTCTGAACTTATCTTGCACCTGGAAGAGGAGGAGACAGAAATTTTCACAATACAATAAAGAATTCTTCACAGTATTAATATTCCAGCTGTAAAATCTGTGTACAACATAAGAAGTACATATTATACACAGATTGTACTTCTCATATTTTATTTGAACTGTTTACCATATGGGTACCTATGCCAGTGTTTCCCCACACATAACTTATACTTGAGCGTTAAATATATTGTATATTAATTGTATGTTGACAGCCTCTCAAGAATATTTTGTTCCATGTTAACAATTTTCAAAATATTTGAAGGGGACACTTCGTATAATATAAGAGTCTCAGTAGTCAGTCGCAGTATCAGTTGCTTGTGTTTCAGCATTCCAACATTTCTTTGGGTGAATGCTACAGATATTATTAATGTATTTCTTTTTCATTCCAAACCATACATGCCTTTTTTGAATACCCAATTAAGTAAAATTAATACTGAAATGCGTTTGGATTTCCATATATATTTGAACAATCACTGCTATGCTGAATTATTATTCCATTTGCTGTCTCCCAGTCCCTTTCCCCATCTCCTTTTGCAATTAATTAATGGATGTAAAGGTAAATTTTAGATGCTGACAACAGGCTTTTTGTTGTAATTTTTTACAGCAGTTATGAACTACATACAAACTGATACAATGGACAGAGGGCATATGTAAACACGCACACACACACACCTTTTTAACTGTCTTGTCAGGCTCAAGAGCAATGTCAGGAATATTGGCATCCACCATGAGGGAGAACAGATTGAGAATGAGGTTTGAGTATCTGGAAGAGGAAAATGCCATAAACAGTCATTAAACTTTACAAATGATTTAAGACATAATAGCTGAAACAGTCAATGCAGAATCCTACTATATATATATATATATATATTATATATATATATATATATATATATATAAAGAAAAAAACTGTTCAAAAAAACATCTTCCACAAGACGCACGTCCTGAATGTTACAGCTTAGCTAGCCGAGTTTATATTAACATGTTAATAAAGCTGTTCCACTTGCAGACACATTAGTCTCGGTGCTTTTTTTGTGATCTAGACTGTGCTTCAAATGTGATGAGATGACGAACCGCATGGGGGGAAAATCCAGGAAATTCAATGATTTTTCCAGCACTTATTATTTTCCAAGACCCTTCCAGGCCTGGAAAACAAAATTTCTGTATTCCATGACTTTTCCAGTGTACGAACCCTGAATGTAGTAATAGAAGTGTGCCTGTGTTTGTGTTACCTGCGCAGATGAAGAAAAGCAGTATAACACTGTTTCCTGAATTCCTGGTATTGTTCACTCTGCATGCCACCCATGCCCTCCACCATTTCCTTACTCAGCTTCATTGGCGGAGGCAGCGGTTTGGGGTCCCGCCCCAGAATATAGCCAAAATCAATATGGAACAGCTTCCCTGCAGAAGTGAGGAAAGGCTGAGTCACGAACACATGCACTGTATTATACACATTTTGGCCTTATAGTATACTACTAAGGAGAAGTTCCAAATAATTGTACCAGTCTTGGTAAGAAGCAAATTGTCCAGGTGTCTGTCCCCGACTCCTAGGATATACGTGATGACACAGTAGCCAGCTGCAATTTACACAAAGCACATGCATGAAAAGCAACATGATATATCTTCACCAATAAATAATTCAACACGCTCAAAAAGAGAACCCTTGTAGGCATTCGCAATGGGCATTTTCCTTCATAGACAAATGTACACGTAGCTGTGAGAGAGGTCTGGCTCACCGCAGCTCTTGACGTAGGTGTCCATCACCTCAGAGCTGATGCCATAAGGTCCTTTATCACTGGGGGCATGTTTTCTGAAGAAACTCTGCAGGATTGGGCAAAACATCAGCTGATATAGCTTTCTATTCTCTTTCTCTTCTCATTCTTACTCCACTTAAAACAAGCTCCTCTACACAATGAATTCTTTCGAAGCTTCTTTCTAAAATTCACAGTGTGGTCAGAAAGTGACTGGACAGCGAAGCTTTTTTTTGTTGTTTTGTACTCCTTCACTCTGAGGGTATTTATATCTACATAGGCTGACTTATACAGTTGCATGCAAATGTTTTGGCACCCCATTGTACATGTTTTGTTTATTTTATAAGAGAAAATAAGTACTTCCTCTACAGGAAACACATCTGCATATTGTAACGCATAATTACTGTTTATGTGCTGAATTTAACACATTGGAAAAAATAAAACATAAAATGTGGGCTGTGCAAAAGTTACAGCACATTTTCTATTTTATTATTATTTGTTTCCAATATAATTAAACTCAACTAAATACAAATTGCACAATATAATGGGCAGAAAAGGTTTGTTTCCTGTAGAGGATGTGTTATATTCACTCAGAATATTTAAAAAAAAAAACATGTAATTAGATCAGGGGCATTCAAATTTTTGCATAAGAATCAGAACTTTTATACATAGTCCCCCCAGTTGAAAGTTGCATTCCACTCCACAGAGTCCCTTAGCAGTGCGGTTACATTCCCTACACACTTGAGTACAAGATGTTGGTTAAGGGAACTGCAGGTGATAAACACCTTCACTCAGAACATCCTACATAATCAAACACGCATCTTCAAGAGACCTGCAAGGAATGAGGGGTAAACTTTCCTGCAGCTTCCTGTGAAGTGATATACCATTGTTCACTACTCCCTGTGCAGTTTGAAGTTCCCTTCCAACAGAATTTTTTCACTCCCAATGATTTGGAATCACCCTTTAAAAGTCTGAATACCCAGTGCAGTACACTTTGCAAGGAACTATGAGGGCAACTGGAATGTACCTACTGTCCAGTTACTTACACTTTACACTGTATGAGTCATAGAAATGTTTCTGAGTGTCCTACCTGAATGTTTCCTTCAGTAGCTAGAACTTCTGCCACCGGAACCGACTGCACAAACTGCATAAAACCTGAAAGGGCACAAAGAAACACAGTGAATCTATGAATATAAAAACATTTGCGTTTTTACATCAATATAAAACTAAATAGATAAGGTCTAGGACTGACCGTGTTTGGTGCTAGTGGCCAACACTTTGTATGGCGTTAACTTCAGGTCCAGATTCTCTTTCCGTAGCAGCTGTGGACAACAGAAAAGGCATAAGACATGCTGCGAAGTCCAGACCTACAGAATGTGTCCATGTGTGCCTATTCACAGGTTGTTGTCCATATCTTACAAGAAAAATACATTTCTTTTACACAGAAAGTGTTCAGCTTTAGGAGAAAATGTGGTTTACTAATGCAATCCACAGCACTTGGTAATGTATTAAATGTATTACTATTATTGAGTGGTATGGATTGGTTATTTCAATATACAACATTAAAGCTATGGATTACTCATGGGTAGAGCATACACTGACCGTAAAGCACTCCAACTCTCCATGTTTTAATATGTATCAATGGGAAAAATATGAAAAATGCCAGCACAATGGTTAAACATTTTGGGAGCATTATGAAGAGTAAGCAAAGATTTACTGTATTTTTTTCCATGCTATTTTCTAAACTTCTATTATTATTAGTGCCTTTAGTGAGAATTTACATGTACATATCATAATGTTTTGTTCTACAATAATATAAAGACTTAAAAAAGCAAATTAAAGAGCAGAAGGTGGAAGGCCCTACATGTGACTGTACGTCTGTGTTTGTGGGTATGTGTAGGTGTGTATGTGGTAACGTATCAGACCTTGTCCATCAGTGAGATGATCTGCAGGATGAGCTGGTCTTGTCTCAGATCGTCTCCGTGTTTAAAAATGACAGGATACTGCTCCCCATCTTCAGCCTTAAAGATCAACTTTGCTGGCATCAGAGCACTCTGGGGGAGAAAGATAGAGATAAAAAAGGTAATAATTTCAAAAGGAACAGGACTTACGATCACAACAAGCTCAAACAGACGTAAGAATTACAGTGAACCCAAAATGTGGATTCTGATCAGAACTGTCTCAGAACTGGCACTCAGGGGTATTAGTATAAGCCTAGGCCATGGTGGCACCTCTTGAGTTGGGAGACTAGATGGCTCACTTAGCATAGTTAGAAAGACTTTTGTCAGGAAACAAATGGTTTTCATTAATTGGGAAAGGGACTGGGAGACCACCACTGACTAAAGAGAGTCAAAATCTTACATACAGTAATGAGTAATGTATTACTTTTATTGAGTGGCATGGGTTACATATTTCAATATACAAGATTTAAGATATGGTAATAAGTAATACATAGCTTAAATACATATTCATAACATTTCGGACATCCTCTGATTCAGACTGGTCAGTCTGCTGAATCCGGAGACCTTTTCACGTGCTTTGTTTACTGCTTTTATTGCAATAAAGACTGAACATTTCCATCACATTTAGAGAGATATCTTTTTTTCTTAACCAGAGCGCACTAATAAAATGGTTGCAACACATTGTAAAGTTTGCTTATTCTTAACAGCAGCAGGATAAATCAGAGCGTAGGATGGAAAGCGGAAACGAATGAAAAGATGGCTTTGTAAACATAGAGGAAAAGGTGTTTGTATGGATGAGTATGATAAAACTGTACCTTGAAGAGTGTGGCAGTGTCGGGTATGATTCCTCTGATCCGAACCTGAGGCTCCAGTGGGAGAGGAATGGGCTCAATCTCAGACAGGTTCACTTTCTCATTATCAGCCAACAGAGCCTGCAACCTCTCAGTCTGCCAGAGTAAAATACACACATGCACACATGCATGTGGGGGTCACATAAACATTCAAATGCAAAGGTTTGGGTGCCTCTGGTCTAATTACATGTTTTGTGCAATAAGTGAAAATGGGTTAATACATCATCTATGGAGAACACAACTCTGCCTATTTTTATGCATTTTAACATATTGGAAAAAAAGACATAAAATGTGGCCTGTGCAAAAGTCATGGCACATTTTATATTTTGTTTTTTTTTCTCCCAATATATTAAATGTAGTAAATAAATAGAAATTCAATTTTGAAGAATGTTAATGTAGTTTTACTTAGAAAATCAACAAAACATGTAATTTAACTGGGTTTGTTCAAATGTATGTATATGAATGTATGTCTCATGTGTGATATATACACTACTTATGCTCAATCTTAACCTCTCTAACCAAAAAACAAATGGAAAAAGTTCTTTACAAAATTATGATTATTTTATTTATTCTGACACTGTAGGATAATCCTGTTTTTCTTTAGTATAAAGTTTAGGCATTCTAAGTGCCTGATGTTCAGCATTACTGTGTGATGGTTTGTGTGTGATTGTGTAAGATCTACCTTTTTCTTGCGATTGCCGCTCTCTCTCTGAACAGCCTTCATGAGCTGCACAAGTCTGTCTACAAATGTCTGCTGTGCTGCCAACAGAGAGCGCATCACCCTCACATTCTTATCACCCTGAGAAAAGACAGACAAATACCATCATCACATTAAGTTATACAATTTTTAAAAGGGAAAAAACAAATCTGATTTAATAAATCTGGGGGGACCTAGTTTGTTCCCACAGTGAGCATTCACATGTAGGTGTTTTATATGACATACAGTACTGATCAATGGTTTGGAATCAATTAGTGATTGTAGAAAAGAGGGAGACCATTTTGAATGTTTTGATTCCAACTCTTGTGTTCCAAGCAGAGATTTCAAAACACTTGAAAATCACTCTCTGAGTCATCAGAATCTGTGCTTTTGCTGATAGTGGATACAGTAATACTGATTACATGTGTCTTATTCTTATGCATAACTGAGAAAACGCTAATATTGACTGCCAGGAAGCAGAAGCTTAAAAAACATTTTTATAAAAGTTTGAACACCCCCAAAAGTGAAAATAAATTAATACATCCTCTAAAGGAAACAAACTTAAATATGCCGTTTTTCTGCACATGTTAATGTGTAATTTTGTATTTATCTGCTCAGTTTAATATCCTGGAAAAAATCAAATATAAAATACAAATGCGCCATGTTTGCACAGGCCGCATTTTATGTTTTACTCACCCAACACTATATTAAATTCTGCAAATACACACTTATTGTGCATTACAATGTGCAGAAGTGTGTTATCTGTAAAGGATGTGTTAACTTAGTCGTTAATCCAGTCATCGCTAGCTGGTGTCTGAATACTGTGATAATGTCATTTGTAGCGGGGTAGTTAGCCGAGCGCTCGTCACCAGCTAAAAATAATCTGTTTTCTTTCTGAAATTATGACTATTACAAAATAGCCGTGCTTTTCCAGCTGGTAAAAACAGCTCACCAGACACTTTCTCCCACTCTCCCATGACAGATTTGTGAAATGTTCCACTGTTTGGCGAGTGTTTGTTGTGTTCCGACCATAAAGGATAGTTTAAAACAGCAATTAACCACCCAGGAGCAAAAATAAGCCTTCAAACTTGAAAGAAATAATGATTTGACATTTATCGTGGTATGTATCGATATCGAACGATATGAATTTTGTTTATCGTGATAACATTTTTGGCCATATCGCCCAATTCTGAATTCACCTAAAAAAAATCAACAAAACATGTCATTTGACCAACTTTTGCACTTCACTGTCCCCAATAAATATGTGTAACCATGAGTTGATGAGAGTTAATATAGAGAACATATTAAAGACAATGTTTACATGTGCCTGAGTGTTAATAAGTGTTTTACTTTGAGTAGAGCTTGGCTGAATCTTCTCATCACGTTCAGATACATGTCATGAGTTTTTGGGTCTCTCTGCTGTGTGTCCTGGTCTTCACACTCCACTATTACATACCTTTAATAATAACACACACACACACACACACAATTTATAAAGCCAGTAGAAACGCTTCAGTTTCATTTGTACATGCACATTCTAAAATGGACTTATTTTTGAATGAGCATATTTACCAGTACAAGTAGTTGGCTAGCGTCGAGTTCTTGCAAGCACGTGATATAAGGAAGGTACACAGATCCTGCTGCAGAAGACACATCGCATACACACAGTTAAACACTATCAACGTCACCATGATAATCATCTTCCTCCTCTTTCTTCTCTAAACACCTGCTCTCTTACCTCCAGATTCTCTCCATCTGCACCCTCTTTGCCCTTCTGTGTGCTGGGAGTCGTCATGGCAGCCGAAGCCATCGGAGAACTGTTCCAGCATAATCGCATTAACACAGCATCAATCTCAGACGTTTTTTGATTTTACTGTTTATTTCCTTTTTTCTGCCATTTGACAACCCTTAAAGTGACGGTTCAGACAAAAATCAAACGTACACAATCTTTTGCTTATCCCAATTGCAGTCCATCAACCAAGACATGTTTGGTGTCTGAAGCTGCTTCTTTAGTTTTGCACTGGAGCTACAAGAACTAACAAGTAATGCAACCTTACAGTCACCCACATAACACCAGTTAGCTATAAAAAAATGGACCATAGTATGTTGCATGGCTAAAAATAACTGTCAATTTCAGGGATTTGGAGACCTCTCTGGTGGAAATGTGGAAATGCATGCAACGTGTGGAAGAACATCTTGTAACGTCAGTTGTTCTTTAATCTTAAGATCTTAAAGCCTACTTAAAAGAGAACTTGGCGAAGGTCTTCCGAAGTGAATTATCTACTATTGTCATCATATCTTTAGTATAATGTTGCTTTTGAGATCTGAACATCAAGCCACACCTTTTTTTTTACTCCTGTAAAATCTGACCTGACACCGCTGACTTTTAAAAGATGGCAGAGTGACTTGCAGCAGCCCACGGACACCATATTTTTCCATGCTTTTTCCCCTGATGTGCAGTTTGCAAAACTAGAGAAGCAAACTTGAGACACCAAACTGATCAGCTGCATTTTGTGTTATGTTTGTCTGTTTTTTTTTTATTGTTTTTACACTTTTTTAATACGGGTATTACAGTTTTATGTTATCCATTTAATAAGCTGCTAATCATTCCTGTGACAAAAATAGTCATAATACTATTTTAAATCTACATTGGAAATATGCATGGCATAATCCAAATTTACAGGTGATACATGAACTCTCTTTTCGCACTGTGTTTAGTGTCTCACCTGTCTGAATCGCCTACAGTTGAGCTCTCGCCCAGACCTCCCTGACTGTCCCGCTTACTGCCAGGCTCCAGACCACCCTGGATATCATTAAAGTTCTCATACTTTAGGGCCTGAACCAGTTGCAGCAGGTACATCAACAGATCCTACAAAGGGAGAGGATCAGTTATTGTTAATTGTGTTATCTGGCATAGTTATATGCCAATGAGTTATATGGTGAATGAAGAACTGAGTTGACTTTCAGGAAGCTGTGAAGATCAAATCAGTCCAAGAGTTAACTCAAAAGACGAAAGACAGAACAGTCTGCATTCTCTCACAACACAGTCTGGACTCCTTCGTAGTACTAAAAAACTCTCTCATAGTACAGTCTATACTCTCTCCTAATATAGTTTGTCTCATAGCTAAGTCTAAACATTCTCATAATACAGTCTGAACTCTTTCATATTACAAAGAGAGAACAGCCTGCACTCTTTAATAGTACAGAGTACAGCTTGCATTCTTTCATAGTATAAAGAGAGTACAGTCTGGACTCTCTTATAGTACAGTCTACTATTTCAGTACATTCACCTCATCATCAGCCTGCTGCAGGCGGGCCACAGCATAACGTCTGACAGTGGGGTTGGTGAATTGGGATGAGAGCAGCTCCAGAGAGTCCTCCACATCCATGGGCCTCCACTTCCCCAACAGCTCCAAAGCCTGCTTCGCTTCCTGTGGCAACGCCCAGTTCACACACTTCAGGAACTTAGTCAGGGCCTGAAAAACACAAACAGAAATATTTCAGAAGTTAAAGGCTTGAGAGTTAGTTCAACTTTTTGAATTTGTAGATGATCATAATAAAGCAAGTGGATTCATAGCAAAACTGAGTGAAACTCGAAGAGGTCACAATACGTTTCTCATAGCCATTATTTTACTTTACTTAATATGTGCTGTGTTCTGTAATATTTATAACTTTAGTTGATTCACTTGATTTTATTACAGTTAGTTAGTTGGTTGTATCAATGCCCATGGAATAAATCCATGGAACCTTAATATTACAGTTTTATTGCATGTTGTACATATTGCGCACTAGAAAAAAAAACACACAGAAACACACCTTTTCCTGAGTGGTGAGGTAATATCTGAACTTCCATACAAGGTCCTGCTCTTCGGAGCTCAGCTGCTTGGTGGGTGGGTAGCTGACAATAATCTGTAGACACACAAAAATACTGCATTAAAATCTGTGCCTCTCCAATCACTCACACATTCGCTTCATTTCATTATCTCTCCTCTTCACTCACATTGAGCTGGTCTCTGGTGGCAGCGTTGGGCTTCAGGTCATGATCAGACGGTCCACTCCGCAGACTTCGGGCCAGCTTGTGATGTTTGCTCTCCACCAGATTCTCCTACAACACAGACAGCACAACAAAGGCATTTAAGTGATAAACTCCTTCTGACTACATCACCAACATTCTTAGCTCCTTTAGTCCTTTGTACAAAAGCTTCTTTTCAGGAGCTGTTTTTTGGACTTACCATACACATCTGGGGGTCAGGGACTTTAACTATGTCTGAACTTGTCAGCAAAGGGGAGGAATCATCTCCATCCTGTAGAGACATGGGCAATAACACGTTACCATGCAAACTGTGGTCAAAGTCCTTATAGGCACGTCTGTCCACTCAGTGAATGTCTTAGCAACGGGTAGTTATTTCCAGTTATTCAGAGATAAGATTCTATGATTTAACTTATAAATACAAAATTGATAGACAAGCTTACATTTCAGAAACAGTTTTGAAATCACTGGCAAAACTAGACAAAAGATGTTTAAATATTTTGTGATTACTGGCTTAAGTAACACAACAAATGTACACTATATGTCCAAATGTATCCAGACACCACTTAGTGAATTCAGCTACTTTAAGGTGCACCCGTTACTGATACAGGTGTTCAACTGCACATACACAGCTTGTATCTCTACAGAAAAGCATTGCCAATAGAACAGGATGCTCTGGAGCAGCTATACATAAGCCTAAAGTCACCATGCCCAATGTCAAGCAACAGCTTGAGGGGGGGAAAAGTCGCTCAGCACTGGGCTGTGGAGTCATGGAACTGTTCTCTGGAGTTACGAAGAACCATCCAATACCTTTGGGATAAGTTGGAATAGCATTTGTGATCCAGAACTAATCATCCAACATCAGTACCTGACCTCACTAATGCTCTTTGTGGCTGAATGCAATCAAATCCTCACAGAAACATTCCAGCAATTAGTATAAAGCCTTCACAGAAGAGTAGAGGCTTCAGCAGTGACGGGGGGACAAACTACCTACTAATACCCTTGATTTTAGAAGACACGTGGGAGCAGATGCACACAAACTTTCAGACATAAACTGTGGATACAGTTCTCTGGTAACTCCTCTAATAATGTCTCTGGTACAAGGATTTAGGTAACATTTACTAAAAACCAGTCAAGACTATCACGAAGACAGCAGTGCCCTAAATCTGTGCAAGAATATGATACATCTGGCTTTTTCCTTGAGTTATGTCCTCACCAACATGGCAACTGGCTCTTTTTATTGCAGAGCAGGACTTCCCATTATAAAACCGTGTTTTAACCAGTGAATTGTTTCCTCCTCTGATAAGGTCTCTGTAATAGGGGGGACAGAGCAAAATTTAAGCAATTTTATCTGGACAGTCTCATTCTATTGGCACACAATTTTGCTTCTTTCAAGACATAGTGCAGATATTTTTGCCTATTTCAAGAAATAACGCTTGAAATAATACTTTTTTTTTTTTTTTTAAAGAAAATGTGACTTAAAACAGGTAAAACATCTGGAAATAAATTAAAATTTTCTTTCTACAACTTTAAAATCAGATATATGCACTAGATTTGAAATAGTTGCATTTACATACATACATAAATACATCATCTAAACCGCTTATCCTTCTGGGTTGCGGTGGGGTGCTGGAGCCTATCCCAGCTGTGATTGGGCGGAAGGCAGGATACACCCTGGACAGGTCGCCAGTCCATCGCAGGGCAGACAGACAGACATATACATTCACACACACACACACACCTAAGGGCAATTTAGCATGTCCAATTGGCCTGACTGCATGTTTGTGGACTGTGGGAGGAAACCGGAGTACCCGGAGGAAACCCACGCAGACACGGAACACACAAACTCCACACAGAAATGACCCTGGTCACCCAGCCGGGAATCGAACCCAGGCCATTCTCGCTGTGAGGCGACAGCGCTACCCATTGCGCCACCGTGCCGCCTGGTTGCATTTACTGAGATATAATTTTTTGCTGCATAGCTCTCCCCTGGACAGAAAAGACAAATGATGTAGTCTAGTCTGTCAGTGACTGCTAGCTTGCTGTGTAGGTCTCACTGATTTATTTACTTAGAAAAAGCTTTTACATCTGAAGGTGTACATCTGTGTCTGCGTGACAACTACATATGTTTAACTAGGGTTGCCAGATGTCCGATTTTGGGCTCTGTGGTCTGGTTGCTGGCCATTCTTCTGAGTCAAAGCCTACATACCTTTTCATAGTAAACTATGCTGTATTCTCTCTCTCCAGTCTTGACGCGGGGAAATTCCACCATGAGGTACATGAAGTTGGAACTGCGTTTCTCACTCTGTAAAAAGAGACACATTTGCATATGATACATATGACACTTCATACAACAGTTTTAGATAATGTAGATATCACTAGAGTTTCATGTTATCCAGACAACTGCCTTTTCAAGCTGAACCCCTTAAACCCTAAGAGCTCATGTGTGGGTCTACACATGAGTGACAAAATGAGTATTTTGTAACTCAATATAGGCAAACCAAACGATTTTTCTACTAAAGCTTTATTATCTATTTAGGTAATTAAGCCTTGTGTCATGAGTAGCGTCTTTGTAACTCCTGAGTGCCTCACCTCATTAATCATCTCAATCTCTCTGAAGGTCAAGCGGTCCAGCCAGTCTACCTTCACCATGTGCCCCTGACGATGAGCCTTTGTCAGCTAGAAAGAGAGAGGGAGAGAAAGAGAGAGGGACAGGGAAAAAAAAACATGTCTGAGTATGGACAAAGCAGAAAATGTAATAGTGGCAGAAGCACGTCATGCTGTGTACAAAACAAACTGTCAGCCAATCAGAGCACATCAGTGTGTCAGCAACAAACAGCTTCACACACGCATTTACACACTAATTAGCCAATCAAATCACTCAGTGGGTGGTCAGTACAAAGACCAGACAGCTCACATCTCTCTTATTGGAGCATGGTTAGTAAGATTCAACATTTATTAAAGAACACCAAGAGTCTCATAAAAGGGTGGGCGATAAGGCAAAAATGTAAAATTGTGATACCTGAAGGTATTTTCACGATACACAATATGTGAAATAAATAATAAATGGATATTTAATTTTTCTGAGGTTGAAACAGCCAAAATGCACCAGCAAAACTGTAGTGCCACATTAAATAAAGACTACAGAAAACCACAAGTACAATTTATTTCATTAATTCAATGTTTGGATGTAATTTGATGATGGAACAAAACTAAGAAATTGACATGTTTATGTACATGAAAAATATATTACAACGACACCAGCTCCAAATTTCCATATCGGTGCATCCTTAGTCTAAATCTAAATCCTAGTCTTTTTTATTATGCATGCAGACATTCAGTGTTCTAAATATTGACAATAATAATGACATACTCATTAAAGGGCACAGTGACGTAATTCATCACAATTGCATTAACATACCATCATACTGCCCAGCTTTTCTCTTAAGCCACAAAGAGCAAAAGAATGCATGACCTTCAGGCTGCATGTGGTTTTGGTCCAAAGGTGACACGTCAGACACTGCAAGCTCCACTTAAGACACTTGGTTAACTTTAATTTAATTTACACAATGTGATCACACAAATGAGGAACGCATTCCAAAAGAGAAATCAGTTCGGTCACAATGCTCTCCACAAGCAATTCTTCCACAGAAAAGAGCAGAAATAAAGGCACTGACTGCAGTGTTCTCCTTGCATACTCTATGTGGGCAGAACATTAATGAGAAAAAGCTCATAAACCCTCAAACAGACTGGTTCACATTCATTCAAACACACACACACACATACACAGACACACACTTACACAAACACATTCAGACATTCAGCATTCCTGTCCTGTGTTTACTGTTATACTCACATCACTAAGTAGCTCCAGGTCTGGACCCTGGAACAGACAGCAGTTACAGCATGTCCTTTTACATCTCACAAACACACATTCTCCTGTTCCTGTCTCATCTCTTTCCAGCACTCTGCACAGACGCACTCTCTACCTAAAAACACCTTGCACAGTCCTGCTTACAATCCATCCACAACATGATCACATAAAAAAGGAACCCTTTCAAAAATGGATTCATGCAACATTAATGCTTACAGTTGTATGCAAAGGTCTGACCACCCCTGTTCAACTTGAATGTTTTGTTGATTTTCTAAGTGAAAATAAGTTAACACATCCTCTACAGGGAACAAAGTAAAAATAGCACTTTTCAGTAAATCTTAGTGCACAGCTTCTATTTATTGCAGAGTCTGTCGTACTGCAAAGAAAATACAACTTAAAACGTTCCATAACTTCTGCCACATTTTGTGTCTTATTTTTATTCCCAATAATGTTAAATACTGCAACTGAACAGTGATTGTGCATTAAGATGTGCAGAGGTGTGTTCTCTGTAGAGGATGTGTTAACTTACTTTCACTTAGAAAAATCACCAAAAGACCAGGGACACCTAAACTTTTCATACCACTGTATGCGTATATACACTCTTGCTCTAACCTTAGCCAGTCTGCCCATCTGATCCTCGGCCAGAGTGCTGCTGGTTCTGCCTGGTGTGCATGTGGGCTCTCCTCCATCACCCTCCACTCCCGGCCACACCTTCAGATCATGCATGCCCTGCCGGAACATTCTGAAAGGGAGAGCGGCGGGGGGAGAGGGATAAGGATGGGGAAGAGGGGTTAGGGTGGGGGAGGGAGAGAGGGATAAGTGGGGAGCACAGACAGACAAGCAGGGAAAAAAAAATACAAATCATTACAGTGCACAAGAGTGTAAATAAGGGGATAAAAAACTGTAGCTAGATATTAATTCTGAATCTTAATACTGACCATAATTGATTATAGTAACATTCCATTAAATATTCTTTCATTTCTAAGCAAAATAAAATCTGAGATAATTTAAAATCTCCTCAAAAAAGCTTTGTATTGTGTATCGTTTGCAATATCTATATTCCACTTGTATGTGCATTAAGTGTATTTTTTCAATAATAATTCTGAATCACAGCAAAATAAATGAACTGAAATGAATCATTGTAAAATCTGACATTTCATGTTGCACAAAATAGTTTCATAATGAAAAATAAAAGGCAAAGATTTACACCCCTAGTAGAAATCACCATAACTCCAGTGCAGATCATATTCACAGCAAAACACTGGAGGCGACCAAATATGTCTGCATAACAGACTCACCCGTATTTTCCGAACAGGGTTACAGTAGTGCCTCCTACAGGTGTAGCACGGCCTGGTCCGTAAACGTCCCACACGGTGAGAGCTACCTGGGCACTCTGAGGCAGGTCAGGATACTTTACTGGCAACCTCAGCCATTCATTCCAGCTACAAACACAAACAAGTTTCAATCAATCGATCAATCAATCAATCTTTTCATCCATAGGAGTGGTCGCCAGCCCCGGAGCGACGTTCCTGCAAAGTGGAGTTCCAGCCACAGTCTGCCACACCTGCTGGAGCTAATTAACTTCACTGATAGGAGGGATCAGATGCATTAGTGCAGCGATTCTCAAACTGGTCCCACATGGTGAGAGCTACCTCAAAAACAATGAGAGCTAATTCAAAAATGTCTAGATTTTCGCTCCAGCCCAACTTCAGATCCCAGAAATATGGCCTGTCTGGGGGGTCTCTGAGGACTGGTTGAGAACCACTGAATTACTGTTAGGGTGGGGGGGTATGTTAGATGTTAGATGCAGGTTATAACTAAACTCTACAGGAGAGGTGCCCAATCCTGGTCGTGGAGATCTACCATCCTGTAGAGGTTAGCTTCATCCTTAATTTTACACATCAGCTTTTGTGGTCATTGGTGTCCATATGCCAGGGTTATAGCATTCACAAAGGCTGCAAAAGCAGTGCAGCAGTGCATATCAGACATTCCCAGAAGTGAAATAGAATTTAAAAAAATAGGCAAAAAAAGCAAAATCTACAATTCATGACAAAATATTTTTCATGCTGCAAACATATTTTCTGGTAGTTCTGCCAAGCTTGAAATAATCACCCAATCAAAAGGCAGATAGAAGTAGTGTTGGGATAAATATTTCACTCTCAGACGCACTGCAATTCTCTCTTAGAAGATTCTGAATCGATTCACAAAATGTCATAATTAGATTTTTATAGAAGCTTTGCCTTTCCATCCTGCAAGATAAAATGAAAAATTTAATTGTTATCTAACATTTACAATAAAAAATAAGCACCATGAGCTACACTGTACAAATAAAGGATACAAAGAACAAAAATATTAAATACAAATGTATTGTCTTTTTTTAAATTAAAATTTTCAAACTTTCATCTATCAAATGATGAAACAGACCTATAGATTTTACAAGTGTGAATGTAACATAAGCTACATTCAAATAAAAAAAATAACCCTAATCGAGCTGGATAAGTTTTACCAGCAGAGGTTCAGAAATGTAATTTATGCACGATTTGACTGGCTCATCTGTACAGGACAAAGGATCTGTGTAATTACCCCAAATAGCCCAGATCGAAACATCACTGCACAGATGTTTACCTCACCGCATTATGCACCAAGCACCACACTTCTGTACAATAATGTGTTGTGCAGCTCAACGCTGCATGATCATAGCATCCAGGAGGAAATATACACCAAACTGTTGTGGGTTTCAGTACTCTTGTCATGAACTTAAGGATTAAGGGATTGAGTCAAATCAAGCTCCATTTTAGCTGTTAGCCTTGTCTTCAGGACGCAATAAAAGGAAAAACTGCAGGTGGCATCCAATGTTACCTGGTTACATTACTGTGATGAGTGAAAATTACACTTACACTCCATTGTCCTACATCATCCAACAATGCAGGCTAGTCTTTCTGGTTATACTCACTTCCATCGGGTACTGAAAGCTTTATAAGATGTGCGAACAGGTAGGGCCAACGGCTTTCCCTCCGCAAACACCTGGCAGGTCACATACAGGTCAGAGCAGTTCTCCTGGTAGAGGCCAGAGAAACGCAGCATTGGGTCTTCCAGCAAGGCCTTGTAGCTCTTTCGCTCACGTTTGCCCTCCAAACTCCCTCTACAGCAAACAAGTTCCAAGAACATGAATTAGAGAGGAACAGTACTGAGGTCATATTTATCACCTCATAATAAATCTATGGCTCCCACGGTCCTACAGGGTGGGGGGTTGGCTTTAGGGGGCGAAAAGACAGGGCCAACATGTTTCATAATTTGACGACTTGTCTCTGCAATAGGGCTTATCATGGAAGAATCTGGGAGGGCGCTGGTTCTTTTCCACACTGAGTGGCTTTAATAGGCACTGATGTGCAATCATATCTCTCTGCATGAGCGTTTATCAGGACCCTGAGACTCAGCAATCGCAGCAGAAGAGCAATGAATTTCACCAGCACCATTAAAACAATCATGCGATGCATCAGACTCTTGATTTTTATTTCATTGAGTCATGGTGTTTACAGTTGCAATGGGAAGTTTGATTCAGTTTTTTTTACTGAACAAAATCTTTTGAACTGTGCATTTGAGCTTGAGACTCTTATAGACTCATCAATAATATTATTATATATTAATAATATTATTAAATGTATTTGTACAGCACCTTTTAAGTATACAAATGTAGCTCAATGTTTCACAAAAAAGTGCAAATAGAACAAGTATAAATTTCAAATAAATACAAGTATAAACAAAGGGAAAAACTATGCTACAATGTGGTATTTTACAACATAGTGTTATACAGTTGAATTTGGAAAGACAGCTAATCAAATATGAAGTCCTCAGGAGTCTTCAGCTTACAACCAGAAGCCCATCGAATGTGGGTGAAGCAACTAAAGAAGGTCCTTTCCCTGAATTTGTATTTGAGCATCTATTTTTCCAGACAACATAACCCCATTATAAGTTTATTGTCAGGGATCCCCAAAATTTTGATTTTGAGACATTCAAGGAGTCCAAGAGGTTAACTAGGAGGTTCCAGACCCCTCAGGACCCCTGTATCCCGCACCTTGCCTAAAACCACAAGTGTGCAGAGTAGCCTAAACTCATACTGAAGTAAAAGTTACTTCTGTGACATAATGTCTCAATTAAAGTAAAAGTACTTCTTCTTAAAAAAAGTTCCAAGTTCTTAGATGCTAAACTTCTCTTTTTGATTTTTTTTTATATTCTTTCTGAAAAATGCCTAATCTCCAAAGTCAACATTGTGACCAAGCGCAAAGCAGCACCATCAGAGGCCATCAATAACATAACAGAACTAAATTAAACACAAAAAGGGAATAAGGAACAAAAATGTTAATGAATAAAATGTGAAAAAGTAGATTACTGTGACAGTAGAAAGTAAAGTGAATAAAAGTGGCATCACTTAAAAGTAACTCGGGAAAGTACAAATCCTTTAAAATTTAACTTGAGTACACTTAACTAGTTACCACCCACCTCTGCATACAGCAAAATGCTATGAAAGATTCAGGTGGATTTGTGAATCGGTCCAATCGGTCAGGCCCAATACTATGGAAGCCTCGGCAGGTAGAGGCAAGTTCTGTTTCTCAAAATGATGACTTATTTTCTAAAAATACTGATCCAGTATCTTGACATAACATCTCATTTTCTCAAGATTTTGAGATATTATGTTAAAAAAAGACTTGCATAGTTATTCTGTCATCACAACTCATTATTTCAACCTAGCAAGTCAATAATTTGAGAAAATAATCCACTATTATGAGAGGTTTAGCTCTATGAACCATCTGGCTACCAAAACGACCTTCTTCTTTTACTTCTCCTTCACACCACTGACAACTAATCAGCATTAGTGAACTTTAACACAAAAGCTCTGGTAGAACATGCATCGCGGGCGCTGGTAGATAAGCTAACGTTAGCACACTGTTAAATCAGTCAAACAGATCAAAGATACTTTGAACAGCACAGACTGACGGCATGCTGGTTTACTGAGAGGTCAGTTAACTCCACTCGCTCAACAAGCTGTCAGTCAGTTCTGCCATCAAAACAATGACTCAGTAGGAAACACTTACATTTTCAGCTGAACATTTATGTCTAGGTCGCAGCTATAAACATAGTTAAACTTGTCCGTGTCCATCGTGAGTTAGTTAAAAACACCAAAGGAAAAAATGCAAAAGAAACAGTACTGAGGAAATACAAAAACGGTTTAAGTTATACTGGTGCGGTGGAGGAGCAGCAGGCCTAGCACAGAGAGAGACTCCTACACTTTCACTTCATCAGCTAAAACTCTCTCCGGCACGGCATAAAATCACCGCCTGTGTCAGCGAGTCTGACCATGAAGCTTCAGAGAGGAAAAACCTGCGGTAATATATTAATTACGGTGCTGACAGAGTGTTTTTTCGGTCCATCTGTGCCTCCATGGTTCGCTCTTTATTTACCGAGCAAAACACAACACAATCATGAAAACAGGGACGCTCAATTGATAGCAGATCCTCGATCGCCGCAACGGCACTAGCCTTCATCCTGCTGATCAGAAGCGATTCGTGTCGTCTGAGTGCGCTGTGGACGGAAAGTGAAGGCGGACAAACTTCAGGGGAAAAACTACAGAATTTCTGATCACGATTTTTATTCGTTTTGGTATTGTTAACTCGAAGACTAAAGCAAATCAAATAACCTCTATATTTGTTTCGAAAATTATTCATAAAGAATCGAAACTATTTAGAAAATGATGCATTTTGGGTTTTCTAAATATGATGAAGCAGTGGTCAGCATCCCAGCTCCTGGTCCAGCATATTGGCCAAAGGATGGAACTAAACCCTGTAGAAAAGTAGATCTCCAGGAGGAGTGTTGGTGACCACTGTACCCAACTCAATAAAGAATTGAAAGATTAATATTTTTATGTAATCAAATTATTTTGCTGGCAAAGTATTATTATTAATTATGCATAGGTGTAAGGTGCTCCTGCAGTAGCTCCTTTTTTAATTTACTTTAATGTAAATCTATGACTTAATTCATTCATTCATTCATTCATTCATTCACTTATGGCACTGGATTGTTCTTTTTTTTTCTCTGTATTTGTGACTTGATGACTTTGTGGCTATTAAGTACTATAATTCGTTTGCCTCTCAAAATAATACTTAATATTTTGCATAGTTGTAACAATTTGATTTGATGGCTATAAAACCCTTCCATGGCAGGCTTGCATCAATGTACATGCAGTATAGAAATATTCATTCCACATTACTATTTAGTCACATGTTATTTTTGGTTGTGTGACTTTGGGGAATTTTTCACAATGTCCATAAACAAAACCATGGAAAGTGCAAAGAACTGAAAGATTAACTATAAAGATTAACTATTAACTAAAATAAAAAGAATTACTTCTTCTTTAAGTTCAGTTGACTTGTTTCCATAAATCCAAACATGCAAGCATCAATATTAAAATAAAGCACACAGATTATTTTATGCCATTGGTTGCAAGATTTTGCAGATACACAGCCATTGTGACAGCAGCTTCCTCTTTCTGTTAGAGTGTGGCAAGGGCATCCCAAAGTTTACTCATGTACTGAAACCTTCTTGCTTAATCAGACATGCCCTCCGCAGTTGCGTTGTAACTTCATATTGAGTGACACTGTAATAATGTGGGAGTGGAGAGGGACTGATTTGGGAAAGGCTACAGAAATCTGAGCAGTTCTTGATCCCTAGAGCATGATCTCTATTTTTGGCATTTTCCCAGTTTTCTTCCCAATTTACTCATGTCCAATTTAACCTGCTAGCTAGGTCTCCATCTATCACATGATACTAACAGTGCTGGGAGAGAGAGTCTAGCACATGCTTTCTCTGAGATGTAAAGCACCACTGCATCTTTTCAAAGTCCAATTAACACAATGGGCCTCATTCACCAACCTTAAAAATAAATTTCTTCTCAAAACCCACTTATGCAGTTTTCATGAAGATTGTGACATTCAGTGTTTTAGTATTTGGGATTTGTTCTTCAGTAAAAACAGAATTTGCACACACACAAAGGTGCAAACAGTTCTGCGATTTAAGAACACACCATTAATCTGACGTAAAAGTTTCCTCAGGACCCTTCTCAACAACAAATTTAAGAAAAAACTTAAGAAGTACTGAAGAAGATATTGGTGAATGAGGCCTAATGTTATTGGACAGCTCAACATGCTTGGAGGAGAATGCTACTGCTACATTTACATGTTTTCATATTCCATTATTTTAAATAAAGCCTCATCAGAAAATTGTGCCAGTGGAATGTTCCCTCTAGAGTTCAATTTTCCCCACTGTTGCTGTCAACCGCAGCAGTGAAATAAACTGAATGTTACAGCATGAATGAACAGCGTCTTATTAATGTTCAGGATTAGCCAGCATTTAACAAAAAGAAAAAATGCTGTCACTATTTCTGCATACTGCAGTTGATCGCATACAGCTATGAGGCACAGAACTACAGTATTTTCAGTGCTGACAGGCAAATTCAGCATAACTGTAGATTCTGTTAAGTCAGCTGAGTGAGGGGAGGAGAGGGGATCCCAGGACTCTGTGCTTTCTTGCACTCCTGGCCACGGATGGCTGTGGCATCACTGCGGATGAAACTTGCGATCTCCCACTGATGAGCATGAAATCTTTTTGACAATCTCTTTGTACCAGAGCTTTGATCTTTGACCAATTGCAGGGATGAACAAGTGTTTGTTAAACTGTTTGACTTTAGAAATTACGACACTGTGTTCTCTGAATCATTGGCAGCAGCGAGAGCTTTACTCATGTTCAGTGTACACAGGCAATGAAAACACTGAGCCTGAAAAGCCTCAAAGTGTCATCATCTTTCACTACTGCATGCAAAATGTACTTTCTGCCTTTCTGTTTGAGGGCAGAGGAAGGACCAAGCAATAAAACCAGCACAGAAACTCACTGTTCCTCCATTTAATTCACATTTACAAACAGTCTGGTTTCAGCCTGATTGGTGCCCAACTACAAGTGCGGAACTCTCTCTTCCCTGCTGCGGGTTGGCTTGAGGTTATATAATGCCGAGTGATGAGTCAGTCTCCACACCACTGGAGCACCTCGCTCCATTACACGCTCCACACAGTGTTAAAGAGCTGTTTAGGAGGACAAGGACAATTGCTCTTCCACCGAATCCTCCACGCACTCCCAGAAGGGGATCTGGTCTTTCTCCCTGACGCAAACACACATTCCTGGGGCTTGATGCCAAGAGGACAGTGGGGTTCTCTGCACTGTAAAACATAATTGCTCTAACTTTTTCTTTTTGGTTTACTTCTTTGTAAAAAATAACTAATACAATCTGGTAACAGTTATTATGTATTGTATAATACTTAGTTATTCAGATAAATCTAGTTTGAATTAAGTCATACAGACTGAAAAGTCTTGTGCACAAAAAGCTTGTAGCATGTTTGAGAAATTTTCTGCACGTTAATTTTAGAGGGTTATTTCTTCAGCAGTTATTCTCTGGGTATATTCTGACAAAGACTCTTATTGTGAAGGCAGGGCTAGCTTTCCTTCGCTGTGTTTATGCGCAAGAACAGGAAGAACTGTATCTGTGGGAGATGAGAGTGCAGACATGAACTAATACTAGAACGAACTGTTAGCCTAAAGCTTTGCTTATTGTATGGCATGACTGTGGCCAACTACGACCTTTAAAAAAGCACATCAACTTAAGTTGTGTCTCCTTTAACAGCAGTGCAGCAAATGCAAACTGGTTGAGCTACTCTAAGGTTATAGAAGTGCATAATAAAACTTTGGGCATTTAAGGGGTTAAGTTTACAGTGTGGATGGTCAAGCTTACCAGTTGACCTAAAACACCATGCCAAAAGTAGAAAGTGAGCATCATGGTTTCCATTAAGATCAGTGCAATCATGATGTGATATTCTTAATGAAATCTAGAAAGAGATTTTAGGGACTGGATGGTTTTGTAGATCATTTTGGACAATAAGACACTTTCCCTTATGTAACAGATGTACATTATACCTTGGAAATGGTACGTAGCATATCATCGCTGTTGAATCAAAACCAAAATCTCCAAATATGTAACTTTACGGGAGAGGGGAAAAAAAACTTTATTGCAAGTAATTCTGCACCATCACGAAAGAACAAACAGTTTAACAAACACTTGTTCATCCCTGCAACTGGTCAAAGATTAAAGCTATGGTACAAAGAGATTGTCAAAAAGATTTCATGCTCATCAGTGGGAGATCGCAAGTTTCATCCACAGTGGTGCCACAGCCATCCGTGGCCAGGAATGCAAGAGATTCCTGGGATCTCCTCAGAATTACAATTAAGCACTAGGTTCCACAAGACAGCCTTGTAACTAACAGAGTTAAAGCTAAAGAAAGTCTCAACTCAGAGCCTACCTTTACCAGCAGAAAGACAATATTCAATTAAACGGGACAAAAGCACACTTTAACTGCCTGTTTAGCTGACCATAGCCATGCAATGTCAGGGACGAGATCAGTGAGCTTCAAACACAGATCTGGCTCAGTATCCATTTTGTTATGGTACTTGGTCTTGATTGCAGTGAAAGCTGAGAAGCCGTTTTCACAAAGGTAGGTTGTAGAATAGGGCACCAAACACCTCACAGCCTTTAACGAGAGGACGGGGTATTTACTCTGTCTTTTGATTCAGAAGTTCAACAGTGACAGCCATTTACATTTCTGACATCAAGGTCTCATCAGACGATAACTCAAGCAACTTCTCCTGTTCAGCATAGATCAAATCCTCAGGCATTCCTATGTACATTCCTATATTCCTATTCCTACTCCTATTCCGTTTTCTCAAAAAAGAGTCAAACAATTAGACTATTTCTTTCATTGTGATTCTCTATTGTAGTTCCTTTTAGATGCATTAAAAGCATTTTTACTGTCTTGTTGTAAGCACTGAGGAAGCCAAAGGGAGTTTACTTTTACAGTTTTAAAAAATTCTGAAAGCTGAGGAAATCATTTAACAGTTTCTTTTATTGTGATTCTCCATTCTCGTTTCTTTTAAGTCTTAAATATTAGATTTTTTCTATTTCTGAGAGAAAGTATATAATGTATACTGTTGCTGCAATAGGGGAGAATAGTATATAGTAAAAGAGTTTTTTAAATCTATTTTATTATCCTGTTCTATGCCCAGTGGAAGCCTATCTGAGTCATTTTTGAGTCTTTCTTTTAAGCACTCCTACAAAAATCTAAAAACTGGATAAACATGTTTTTGAGGAAACCATTCCTTTAATTTTGAGTTCCTTTTCGGTCTTTGGGCTTAGATTTATTCAGTGTGCCCAGAAAACAGCTTCCTAATGCGAAGGTGAAGGAGTACATGCAGCAGAGTCATGAGGCTGGAGTTCCTCAGAGGAACAGTGCAGGAGCTGAGGGGCAGCGGTGAGTCACTCTGTCCGTACTGCGGCACGTGGCCCAGTCATTGAATAGCGGCACCACAGGCCTGACACAGCAAGGAGCTTTCAACACCTCTCAAACTACTGTGGGGGTGACAGGAGCATGAATGCTCCAAACAGAGAATTGTGGAGCCCCTGGGTCTCCTAAGAAAAGGCCGTTTTCTCCTATCGCAATTTTTTCCACCTTGATAGCGAAGGAGATGAGAGATGAGCTAATGTGAGGGTGAGTATGTAATGTTCGGTTCTGGCTCAAAGAGCATTACCTTCCTAGCGTTCTGGACACGCCTTCTCGTTACACACACTCGCAAACCACGTCTCACATACTCTCTCCTCAGGACACAAACACACACATACACAAACCCATCACACTCAACACCTAACTCAACTACAAAGATCTTTAACAAGGGAAAAAAAGTGCTGTTCGAGGACATTACATCTTCCTTTCCCCACTTGACAGACAAAAACACATACACACCTACCTACCAACATCTACCTCACTCAACACCTAAAACACACAATAAAGCAAGAGACATTGCAGTAGAAACTAGACATCGCATTTTCTTACAACATATATAGCACGTCAAATGTTTGTCCTTTTTTGTACGCTTCTTTTGAATTTTTTTTACTGTTAATTTTTTTTTATTAAACAAAAAAAAAATATCAGCAAAGTAGGGCTGGGCGACATGAACAGACATACAAAAAGTCTTTTCCACTATGCATACGCTGATATCACTATATTCTAAAACGAGAAAAACAAACAAAAAAACAAAACAAAACAAAAAGAAACCAATGTGCTTAGCTTATTTGAAGGCGTTTATGTGTTTTAGCCAATACTCTGTAAATAGTTGTGTAACTGTTTGAATGGTGTTACGCTGTTTCTCAAGTTTATAAGAATAATTTAATTACTTCAAATCAAGTGCTTAATTTTTCTCAAGCTTTGGGCTGGATGTGGTTCCTTTTTGGGGCTCATCATTATATCCATAATATGGTAAATTCCAAAGTCAGGAACCTCCAGGCTGTGAAAGAAGGTCTAATAATTTCTAGGAACTAAGACCACAAGTCTGTAATTTTAGATTATTTGTATTTAAAATATTTAGTACATTGTATATAACCCTGCAATTACTGCAGTAATACTTTTATTTCATTGTTAGGTTTTGGGTTGAAAATCTTGAAACACTCTGAAAACTGCCCAATCAGGATTTTTCCCTAGTGGTATCCAGGTAGATACAGCCATGAGAGCTTTCCATTTGTTTAGGCCCTCAGGAGCTAAACAGAAGCCCTTCCACTTATGAAGGCCTTAGAAACTTAGAAATTACATTAATGCTGCATTAGAGCTGTGAAATACCAACTGTCCAACTTGTAAACTGCACAGCTGATGAAGTTGTATTCACAATTGGGAATCTTGGGACAGTAGCAAATATATGAGTTTACTAGATATATAACAGACATATAACAAGCTTTCAGCTTTTCCACCAGTAAGAAACAGTAAACCTGGCTCTGAATGTGAAAAATACCTGATGTGGTTCTATGTGATTTATGTGCTTTTTAATATAGCAAAGAAATAGAAGGATATAGATTCTCCAGAGCTTCCTGCTTTCTTTTTCCTTGTGGTGGACATATCTTTTAACAACCATCTGAATAGCGTGAAATCATATTTACGAGTAACCACGTGGTACATAAAATCTTCCAAGAAGCACCTGACTGCAGAATCACAACGAACATAATTAGTAAGTGTTAGTGGAATCAACCAATCATGTTCTGATTTACAATGGATAGGACTAATTTTAAAGTCACTCTATACCTTCTAGATACTCCACTAACTGTGAGCTATAGTTTAATAAGGATTCAGTCAGCTGTTAGAAATAGAAACCATCGGCAGCAGGTCTATGTCAGGCTCTTTACTGCAGGAGTCACTGTAGATGAAACATATGTCAATGCATGTTAAAAGCTTCAACTAATACATGGAATGTGCTTTACACGTTTCAAGTGTCCATGTGTACCAGGGGTGTCCAATCTTGTCCGCAAAGGGCCGACGTGGGTGCAAGTTTTTGTTCCAAACAAGCAGAGCACACCTGACTACACTCCGTTAATCAGTCTCAACCTTCATGTGAGCTCCTGCTTTGCTGCAACAAAAACTTAAAGCCACACCGGCCCTTTGTGGATAAGATTAAACACGCCTGGTGTATAATATGGAGTGACCAAAAAGTGTTCATGTACACCAGCATTAGTTTAGCGCTAACTCATTACTAGCATTAGGGTTTTCAGGCTGTTATTGTCATGGTTTGTCACTGGAAGTCCATATCATGAGACATACATGAGACAAACATACTGATATTCACTTCTGTATTTTAGACCTCCCACCCCTGCTGGAAAGGTATGTTACCATACAGCAGCTATTTGCTAATACTTGTGTGTATTTAGCTTCAAAACTCACCTTCATGTTCATCAAAGTATCTTTCTTGGTATGAAGAGCAGGTTTTGCCTAAATAATAATAGTCATGCCAGTGAAAATCATTTGGTGGCAAACATGGTAGAATTAAACATCTGAAAGTCTTGATGGCTAATGAGTGCTGCCATCACAAAAAGGGGATAAAATGTGCATGATATGACTTTATTATAAGGTGGTGGTTTTGTTGATTGTTCTTTCAGGTTTTTAAACACGCTCGTTTATTAAAAACATGTTGAAAAAGGTGACTTTTGATGAGAGGTGTGTATACACCCACATAAAGACACACACACACACACACACACACACACACACCTGCAGCAGTGGTGCAATAAAAGTCTAATTCTTTCTTTATGGGCTTCCCCTCTCCCAAACATCCACCGAAGCCTCAGCTGGACCAGGCCCATTTGAGGTCACAAAGTTGAAACACATCCATGACATCATCATTATGAGCTAAGTCCAAGCAAGCAGATGAAGGTCAGTGCATCCAGAAGGCCTCTGGCCATGAAAGGAGCCCGTCTGTTTGTATGCATGAGGAGCACCTAGTAACCGCTGGGAACAGTAGCACCTGTCTGCTGATGCTGTTGATGTGGAGTTGACCACCCTCAGGAGCAACGTTCAACGATACTGAATAACCAGGGTTTGACCCATCAGGTGACAAGTATATTAGGTGTTAATGCATCAGTAACATTGACGTAACGGCCAAGGATGTGTAAAAGGATGGTTGTCAGTGGCCATCCCTTCTTCTCTCCCTCAGTCTCACCTCTCTCCTCGTTCTCACCTCTCCCTCCTTTCCCTCGCTCTTAGTCATCTTAGGATGTGTCAGTATTTCTATCGTTTTTCGAGGTCATGCCCAGTGGAGCGGAGAATGGCAATCTCCGGAGAAACAGATTGAATGGTGCCAAGCCACAGCCTTTTTTCCTCCACAACCCCCCCAAACCAAAACCCACACCAACCTGCCCCCCCTCGGAGCTGCGCCCTGAGCTGGGGGCAAAGCCCTCCCCATACCCTAGGCTTATAAGTCTGGGGGGTATATATGGAGGCGCAAAAACGGAGAGAGGGATTCAGAGAACGAGTGATAGAGGAAGAGAGAAGAGATGGCAGGACAGCAAACAATGATGATAGTCTTGATTGGCGTCTCACTCTGGGGCATTTGTTCAGCAGCTCCAATGGAATGCCACTTCAACTCGCAAGGTGAGATGAACTTCTTTAGACACCATACACAGAAATAATACATATGATATCCCCCAGGGCGGGGGCCTCAAACTCTGGTCCTGGAGGGTTGTAGTCCAGCATAGGTTGGTAATTTCTCTGCTCTTAACCTGGTAACTAACTGCTGAATTGAATGAGGTGTATTTGAGCAGCTACATCTCCAAACTTATTGTAAACCAAGGCCCTCCAAGAGTTTGACACCCCTGCTCTAGAGGAACATTACACCTTTCCACCTTTCGTTGTGAACTCCACCATTTTCGCCGCTTATCACTATCACTCCAACACAAATCTCACAGTTGCAATCTCAATAGAATGCAACCTAGAAAGCACTCATACTGGTAGAAATCGAAAATTGATAGTAGCATCTACAGGTACAGGGTGATTCAAGAAGTTTTATCCGATTTCAAAGCACCATATTTTTACAACTGTGAGGTGCCTAGGAACCAATCACATACCAACTGAAAGAAGGGGTCATGGAATTTCTGACTGCCACTGGAAGATGGCTCCCTTCAGGCTAAGAGGAGATGGTGACCCCTGAGCAGAAAGTGTTTCATGTTGTCCACTTCAGTAAGAGTGAATCCGTCATAACTGTGCAACATAATTTTCGTCGGCAGTGAGTAGTGACACCCGACATGCTCAACCGAGTATGGGATGAATTTGACTATCTTATTGATGTATAGCTGGAGGAGGTCATATTGAGCACTTGTAAAATTACATAATTTTTTTTTACATAAAACGTTATGTTCACGTAAACCTTTTACAATTTACTGCATTGTTCTGTAATGATTTACAAGTGAAATAAATCATTTTGAAATTGGATGTATATTATTTGCTCCATCCCTCAGCAATAATACCGATTTCCATGAATGATTCTCCTCTTATACAAAGTAGGGATTCTACTGAAACAAGATGCTGTAACAATGCAGCCTCAGTGAAGATGCTAACAACACTGGGGGGCAATCTGGGGTAGATGAAGATGCTAACAGCACCTGGGAACAAGTCGGGGTAGGTGAAGATGCTGACAGCGCTGAAAGAAAATTTAGGATAGGTAAAGGTGTTAATAGCACTCAAGGACAATTTGGGATAGGTGAGGATGCTAACAGCACTGTGAGGCAATGCCAGTTTAGTTAAAGACTAACATACTTGGATGCTACAAACTGTGTGCTGAAAGAGGCTTTTTCAGAGTGGTCTGTTAAAGGCCTGCTTTTCTGCTCTCTCTCTCTGTCTCTCTCTCCACAGCTCTGTGTAAGTACGAGGGGAGGCACTACTCTCTGGGAGAGACGTGGATGGAGGGCTGTCTGCAGTGCACCTGTCTGCACCCTGTTGGGGTGGGATGCTGCGAAACGTTAGTGACCATTCTTTCTCCTTTAGGGGTACTTCAGCCCTAACACTGCAAATAATAAGAGCTACAAGACAGTCACTATCTGTCAAGATAACAGCTCCCCGTTACCTTTCATTCATTGTTATGATAATATTATAAATACAGTTGTAAGTAGTTTCTCTGAAACACTGCACAGCACCATCATTTCATAATTATTTTGTACATGTACCTGCAACTGATTTTCAGTACTGAAAATGGGGATTGTGTAGATGTGACAGCGTGTTTAGATGAATCCTTCCTCTCTTAAATGTTGAAACAACAGCTCATCTTCACAAAATCTCTTCTCCTCCATCCTCAGCGTTCACCGACCTGTGGACTTCCCGCCTTGGTGTGAGGTGCGTGTTGAATCTCCAACCTGCAAGGTGACCCTGGTGCTGGCCTCTGACCCGCGGCTGCCCTGCATTCCCGGAGAGGGGAACAGCGTGGACCCCAGCCACGGAGCCATGAACATGAAGCTAGCAGGGTAACAAGGCAGCAGAGCGGCTGAACCATCACTACAACAAACTAAACAGAATGTCTGGGTGTCTGAGCTGGTGTCCTGCCTCAACTCCAGTGTCTTTAATAATGCTGCATTAACACTTATTTGCGTTTTAACACTTTGAAAGTTACTTTGAAAGCGACAGTTGTTTGCTCATGTGTGTTTTTTTGTCAAGGGCTCATTACTGCCCCCTATGTTCGCGAACGGTACTGCTTTTATATGTCTTCTGACTGTGTAGGTTCTGTCCAACAGGGATTAGAAACGGTGCAAAAAACAAATCTTAAAAAAAAATAAATCAACATTTATACCCTGTAAACTCTACTTAAAGAATGTGCTCTACAAGATTTGGATCCTTTATTACATTGTTCTTAACAAACTGAGTTCATATATTGTCCAAATAAACAGTATGGATGTAGCTTTCATATATCACCTCATGCACTATTGTAAATGAGCAGCTTGGCACTTGTCATACGTGTATTCGTTTCTTGTGTACCTTACCACATTTATCTGAATAAAACATGCGGAAAATAACGCATTTCTTAGTCCTTTGAGTGAAAGTAACTTACATTTCTCTACGATTCCTCCACTTTTATTTGCCAAGAACACTTTCATTAGAGACACTCTGTACATTACTGGCTCTTGTCACACATAGATAAACACACTGAAAAACATACAAGTATTTGCATAAAAAATAGAGCAGCTCAACAGGCAAGATTTTGTGTAAAATGATATAGATTAGCACATAAAGGCTGAAAAATACAATAAATATGGAAAAAAGTCTTGGGTTGGTCATGTCTGAAATGTTAAAAGTGTTTAGCACAAGTTGACAAATACATATACACACACACACACACACACACACACACATATATATGTGTGTGTGTGTGTGTGTGTGTGTGTGTGTGTGTATGTGTGTGTATGTGTGTATGTGTGTGTGTATATATTCATTGCACTGCAAAAGATAAAAACAAATAAAAGACCATAAACAAGACAATGCTGGCTTTTGATCTGGAATACCAGATGATCAAGATTCATGTCCATGCACACACACACACACACACTGCACCACACCACATTCCCTACTCAGATATTGATGCTATTGGTCCCTGTAAATTGTGAAACATATGAAGCTAGAGCCGGATTGGTGGGCAGCACTTTGATTGGCAGGTCCCAACTGAAGGTATCTACGTCCACCTGCTCTGCCCCAGTCCATACTGTGACTTCTGATTGGTTCTGAAGTACAGTCGGCAACTCCACGGGTTCTCTTGCTGTGACAAACTCAAAATGTAGACGCCATCTTAGAGTCACTACAAAGAGAAAAAGACAAAGATTCTTTATTTGATTCTTATCATGCAGACATCATACTCAGCATGCATAACAGCTACTCAACAAGATAAAGTGTTGAAGTGTCTGACATACTGTACAATGACTTTAGCAGTTCATTAAGTACACTTACAGTACTGTGTAAAAATGAAAGACCACCCTTCATTTATTTCTTTTAATATGAAACTGGCCATGTTTGTCATCTTCAGGTGATATTTCTGAGGAGTTTAGATATTAATAATCTACTTGTATAAGGAAAGGGAAATCAAAGTTAAATATTTGGAAAAAAAACAGGAGTTGCCAATACAGAAAACAGGACTCCTAACGACTGCAAGACCTGGTAGAAGCAAGAAGCCGTTATTGAGAAAAGGAAATAGAAAAAGAGAAAATCTCCAAATCAAACAAAGAAGCTGCTTTTGTTCTCAGAATAATGCACTGGCCAACCCAGAGTGAACACCTCAACATCAAATGTGTTTGGGATTACTTGGATTGTGAGAAGCAGAAATACAACAGGTGGACACATTATATAATGAAAAAAAAGATATGTTTTGTTACTGAGGCTTCTTTGTTATTTTCTGTTAAATATATTTTCTGCTTTTTTCTCCCTGATGCAGAAGAATAATTTGTACCTAATGGCCATTTTGACTGGGAATTAATTTTATAAAGAACTGTCATTGCACAGTATTGTAGGTGCACTTTGTAGGTTTGCAGCACAACCTCTGCAAAGTTTACATTAAGCAAGAACTAATTCTTAATGTGTCATTGGCATAATTTAGGTCAACAAAACAACATAATCTGCTAATCCCAGAGCTTAATTTGAGCACATAAACTGATTAGTGGAAACACAGCCTTTTAATGGCCAGATAATTGAAAGAGAGCATGGTGTCAAGGTGAACTGACCGATGTCAGTGCTGAACCCAGGTGTCACGTTGAGGGGGATGGGCAGGGAGAAGTGGCTGGAAGCCGTGTGTAGACAGGACTCCAGGTGCCGCCCATGACCTGTAACGCTAACTGCTTGACCCGGCCGCCGCTGGTACTGCTCATGGACCTCCTCCTCACTCTGGAGACTCACTGAATACTGATATCATAGATAACACACACAAACAAAGCGTTAGTGCATCACTTTTAAGCTAACACCTAATCGATGTCCCGCTTTTAAAACACCACTGCTTCTCACCACATGTAAATTACTGGAAATATAGTGCTTTGAAAAGAATTCCCTGGGGTACTAAGTAAAATCAAAAAAGGTAAAAATAATAAAAGGTTTCCATTTAGTTTGTACCTGTAAACATGGGATATCCCCTTCTGAGAAAGTAAACGTTCCAATGATATCCTCTCCTAGTCTGTAAACAGTCTTAAAGATACAGAATTTGGCCACCTTCCCCCTCATGTTTGTAATATTAAACAGATCTGTGGAAAAACACAAAGGCAACCTAGATTATTTTCCCAGACAAAATAAATTCACAGTCTCTAACATGGCAATGACTGCTGATAAGCATGAAGAGACAGTTGGGAAAAATACCCATGAAGGGAAACAAGCATGGTGTCACTGTGACTGACACTGAAAGCAACAAAAAAGCAAGAATGATTTCATGTGTACATACAGGAAGGACAGGAACAATCACACTCACGTGGATAGCGGCGTGATGTGGTGATCATCAGCATGTCTAGTGCTCGCTCCAGTGTTCTTGTGTCTCTTCTACCTCCTTCCTCTTCCTCCAGGAAAGGGTTCGAAGGGGCTACTTCCTCATCCTGTGGGAATGGGGGCTCTGGCATCCCTATAGCACACATATGCACCATTCAGGAATCACCATAACTAGCTTGCCAGCACTGTTAAATAAGTCATTACTAAAAGTGAAAAAAATTGCTTCTAAATTAAGACCTAATCATGCAATAGCTGTGGTGATGTTTTGTCAATTCTTGGGATTAAGCAAGTAACAAAATATCTAATATTACACATTTCAAGTTTACATACACATCAATTCTACACTGATAAGCCTGAATGTGCATTTAATCCTCCGTGTGCTGCCAAAACAGCTCCAACCCAGACACACAGACACTACAAACCCTTTGAAGGAGCCCTGTAGTATCTGGCACCAAAATATTAGCAGCAGATCCTTTAAGTCCTGTATGTTGTGAGGTGGAACTGCTGCAAAACGGAGTACTTGTTCCAGCACATCCCACAGATGCTCAACCAGACTGAGATCTGAGGAATTTTGAAGTCATGTGATGTAAAACTCATCAGATCAGGCAATCTTCTTCTCTTGTTCCAAGGTCTAATTCCAACACTTGTATGGCCATTGTAGCCTCTTTTGGCAGTGGACAGGTGACTTGGTGGCACAGCAGCCCCTCTGTCAATTCAAATCAGACGGGAGAGCCTTCTTTGCCCTTGAGCATCAATAAGCCTCTGACCACTTACTCACCACTGCTGACTAGAGGAACCCAACAAGTCTTGCTGTTTCAGAGATGCTCCGACTCAGTTGTCTGGCCTTTTTCAAAGTTACTCAGGTCTTCACACCTACCCATTTCTTCTGCAACCAGCACATCATCTATGAGAACCAACTGTTCACTTACCATCTAATATATCCCAGACCTTGACATGCGCTGTTGTTACATGATAATCAGTGTCAGTCACTGTGAGTGGTCATAATGTTTTGGCTCAGCGATGTATGGTTAAGACAGCATTATTCCATCTCCATAACACTGCATGCCTCTGCCCTTCCCTTACACTAGCAGATGTAGAAACACATATATGCTTTTGTAACATGCAGGTTAGACTACTGTAATGTTCTTTTATGTGGCTTTCCTGTCAAAACCCTCAATTGATTACAATACGTACAGAATGCAGCTGCTAGAATCCTCACCTGCTCTAAGAAAACTGACCATTTCACCCTCATTTTTCACTGTTCTCACTGAGTCTTCACTGGTTACCTATTACATGCAGTGTTCAGTGCAAAGTTCTTCTTACATATAAAGCTATGCACAGCATTGCTCCTGATTACCTGGCTGAGAACCTCCATTAATATGCTCCATTCTGAACCTTGATCAACTAATGACTGACTGATTTAGGCTTTCTCCATGTTCCAAGGTTCAAACTGACTGACGTCCATGGGGTGGTCAATCATTTAGCGTAGCAGCTTCCAAATAATGAAATTCTCTCCCTATTTGGAATGCCTCCTCTCTGTCCTTATTTTATATTTTATCTTCATTGAAGACAGTTTGTCTTTGAATGTAATGTGTGCATGTATTTGACAGACATGTCTTTTGCTGTTATTGTGTACTTTATGTTTAATATGCTCATATTCTATGATTGTAACACATCCTTACGCATGCAGAACATGCTATATAAATAAAAGTGATGATGAAAATTACTTTAAAGCAATCCACATGCTTTCTCAAGTGGTCAGTGCCCTATTATAATCAGTACAGAGCAGGAGGCCATATGCTCAAAGCACTGATGATGCAACTTTAGTACTGCAGGCTAGTGAATGGTCTGTAGCAAGTACACATAAAACCTACCATGCAGCACCAGAACTCTGAAGGGAACACGCAGCAGTTTGATCGGAGAATTTACTCTCTGGCAGCCAATCGTCAACTTGTAGACATATTTCACCGCCTGACCACGAAAACTAGGAGGGCCATCTGTGGGTACAAGCTCACTGTAAGAGTCTATGGAAGGAGAGAGGAAGAGAGAAATACATTTTATTCCGAATTACAATGCGGTGTCTTGAAGATATCACTTACGTGTTACTTGTAGATGAGATAAAATATTGCCACGTTGAGAAAACGTAGTAACAAAGAAATAAACAGAATATATAAAAATACAAATATAAAATAAGTTGGCAAGTTCTATGACCAGATTTAAACAGTTGCTTACAGGTTTTGCTTTCTCCAGGGTCCAGCCGGAGGTCACAGAACAGGATCTTTGGTGGGGTGTCTAGCATGCACTGCCCTCGTTCCCCTGGTCAAGAGGAGCATAAAAAGAACATGAGGGTTAAAACAGTCAAAAAAACTAAGCACTGAAAAACACATTCAAATCTGACTGCCTAACTGTGTCACACGCTGCATATTAGGCCTTCAATAATCCTGAAATCAGATCTTATTTATGAATAGAGCTCTTAATACATTTAAAATTGCAAGCTGTTCTTCTGTGAATTACAAGGCTAATGATTTTCCAATCCTAACTGGAGCTCAGTTCAATCTAATCCTTATCACATGCATATACAAAGCTCAGAGTAATTGGACTTTTAAACTGATCTCAGACCACTGTTCTTATTCAGGCCCAGGTTACAGAAAGGGGAAGCTGTTTCTATTTCAGTGTGAAAATAGGAAAAAGTACAAAAAAAAGTATAGCCTTCTATCTATAAACATAATAAAGCAGCATCCTATGGATTTCCATTAACAATGGAATAAAGGGACAGCAGCAAATAAACTGAGAATACGTGTCTAAATTAAAGACATATGAATGATTTAGAAATCAAATGTGCTGCAGGAAATACAGAAATATACCTACATTATATAAACATTAACACTGAATGGCAAATGTGGAAACTAGGTCAAGTTATTTACCAGCTAATACTTCTGCCACAATCATATGATGTTTAGCTGTATGACTGCATTGTGAGGTAGTTTCCATAACTGACTGTCAGATGGAAAATGCTGGTTTCAGTGTGCGCCTGTCTTCATAAATCTTCTGAGAGTAGAAGTGCTGTGTTGAGATCAGGTGTGATAGGAGTCAATAATTAAGACAGCTATATTTCAAGTTGAATCTGCGCTGGCATTTCCCACATTCAGAAACTTGTAACCCTTGAACATGTTCTGATTTTCAGAAAGAGTGTCTGTTTTTTGAGCATTCAAAATTCCATTACAGAAATGTATTATACTCTAGATGCAAAGAGGCAGCTTAACAACACAGTATGTGATGTCTTACAAATTCACTGCACAATAAAATACAAGAAGTAAAAAGGACAGACAATAAATACCACATTAGAATCATACAGAAGTGAAACTAAAGTTGATGCCAAATTTGCAAGTGTTATGGTTGTTGTCCTTTGACAATTGTCCTTTCTCCTTGATGCAGTTCTTTTCTAGTGTAAGAATGCAGAGTTTAATTGATTCCAACAAAAATCATGTTCACAGAAATAGAGGTTTAAAAGTGTTCATGGATAATATATAATGAATGTAATAAACTGGTGTACCGTAATCAAAACACAGTTTGAGTTAAGCGATTTCAGACCAAAACTTGAAAGAAATGTTACAGCTCATTGTTGCACCATTACTAGAACATTGATTTTCAAATAACCCAAGGTCACATATCTACGAAAGAACACTGTGGGGAGTAGCTACCATGTGTTGATAAGCCTTAATCTTATCCTCAGAAAGGATACAGAGAAATTTCTCAGCACAGATCTTACCTCTGCTGGGGATGAGCACAGTGTCGCTTTCTGCTTGTACATCCTGCTTGGTGCCCTGACTGGGTAGAGCCACACGGCTCTCACTAGCATGGAACTGGCAGTGGATCTGAGCACTAGCCCACGCAAGCATCTCGCTGGGAATAAGGGGGGGGGAGAATAAGAAGCAGCAAAGACATATTCTACATAGCATGCACGCAGAGCACCATGAGATATGTTTTCAATCAATAAATAGTAAAGATAATGTTCATTTTGGGTTGTACTGATCAAAACCATTAAGATCATTTGTTTTGCTCTCACTTATTATATCCTAATTACTATATTGATACGTAAACAGAGCTATATGATAGGCATGGTTTCCCAACTCTGAACCCTGGCATTCACATGCTCTGCACATTTTAGTTTTCTCTGGTTTTAACACTCCCACTTCAACTCAGTAAGGGGCTGTTAATGAACTGAGCTAGGTTTCACAAAAGCACCTTGGTACAAAGATGATTCTTAAATGGTGGAGTGAGCATCACACTGAACACTCTCTCTACCAGTTAAGATGTTCTTAATGCCAACATGGTTTTTGGGAAACTGGGCCCAGATTAGATGGATTAGATATGTTGGGAGCAGGGAACACACTAAAATGTGCAGAGCAGTGGGCCTCCAGGACCACTGTTGGGAAACACTGCTGTGGGCTATATGGCCAAAACAAGGCACTGTCATTAAATTAGAGCTTTACAACCCCAATTCCCAAAAAAAAGGGGACAATATATGAAATGCTAATAAAAAGCAGTGATAAGTAAATTCTGCTTGGCTTGTATTAAATTGGAATTTTATGTTTTACCTTAGGCACTTGATTGTTTTTGTGCACAAATACACTAATTTCAATTTGATGCCTGCAACATGTTGCAAAAAGTTGGAACAGAAGAATGTTTCCCACTGCGTTACCTCACCTTTCCTTTTAACAACACTTAACGATGGTTTGGGGACTGAAGATACAAACTGATCCAGTTTTGAAAGTGTATTTTTTCGACATTCTTCTGTTATACAAGTGTTCAGCTTTTTGGAACATGTAGCAGAATGAACTCTGGGTTTGTAGAATGTGTTGTCTTGAAGCAAGGTCTTAAGGGTGATCTGCCATTTTTTCAGGGTTTGTCAGTCTAAGATGGTTAGCATAGTTAAATGAATCTTTGTTTCCCAACATCTCTCCTTGATTTTTGCTGAACTGTAGCCCATGGACTCAATAAGTACATTGGCAGAGCTTAAAAGTGAACTTACATGGCTACCAGATCACAGCTCTGAGCAACATCAAGCAAAGCAGGTAAGAAATAAAGTTTCATGTAAACTGTGCTGATGCAGTCCTAGATAAATAGCACATAGAAAGCATCATATTGAGTGTGCCAAAAAACACCAAACAAACTAATTTAACATTCTACCCGTATTTGAATATCAAATTGTGAATTTAACACACTTGGTATCAACAATAACTACAACATAAAGAGGTACAACTAACTATTCACAAAGATACTGTTGGCCATTTAAATGGTTATGATGTGACTAGATTTGTACCATTAGCTCAAATATGTTTCAAATTTGTCTGTTTATCCTAAACATTTGATATTGACTGTTTTTTTTTGGTTTGAATATCAAGCCGCATCTGATCTACTATGGATCACATGGATTTTTTGGAGTTTAATATAGTACAGTACAGTAATACTGTCATCAGTTCGGTAACTAACTAGGGTAGCAGTGCATGCTAAAATACCACTTACAGTGGAATAAGCCAATGGTTCAGTAAAATATGTCAGTGACTGAAAGAAATATGCCAGTGGTTGAGTGAATATGCCAGTTGAGATAAATACATCTGTGGCTGAGTGAAATATGCCAGTAACTGAGCTAAATATGCCAATGGCTGAGCAGAATATCCACTTTTAAACTGCACATGGGCTTCAAGTGACTTGATAGTTCTAAAAACTAAAAAAAAATAAAAAAACAAAAACAAGGATTTAAACCACAAATCAGCTAGGAAAAAAGAAAAATCTGAGAAGAAAGGTGGAATTACATTTGCATATCCAGATCAGTAATTACACTCCACTCACTGTTTGGACGTTTGTATGGATCCAACCTGACAATAAGGCCAATTTTATCTATGTATCATAGTTTGGCTAATTTGATTCATCTTCTGGTATTACAAGTCTGAAAAATCACAACCTCTAAGCTCTTGCAGTCTATGTGAGTATTTGTAACACGTAAAAAATCCCTGTTAATATGGTAGAATAATAATGTTTAGCACTCTACGGCACTGGTTCTTCAACTGATCCTTAGAGCCCCCAGAGAGTCCACATTGCTCTGTCCCAACTCACAACACCTAGGTATAAAGCAGAAATGTGGATCATCTAGTGGGGGGCTCTGAGGACCAGTCCGAGAACCACCACTCAACAGGGACCATAAATAACAGCGCTTTTCACTAGCCTATAGGAAGAAACTCCAACAGAATGTGTCTATATAATTATATCAATTCATTAAGCTTTTAGAAATATAATTGTTAAGTGTGCGCACTATTTGTCTTAAGTGAGATGTTATCACGACATGACGTACAGGGAAATTACCTGCTTGCGCTAGTAGAAAGGTGGGACATGGGATTGGTGAAAGTGATGAGACACTCTAAAACCTCTCCAGCCAGAAACACAGGGCCCCGGGCCATGGAGGCCACCACCTCAATCATCTGAGGAGGAAAAGGAATAATGGAATAATGTCTCACTCACCGGCATTTAGTCACTGCGCCTAAACTGAAGCTTCGTATACGTCTGCTGGAGTACCACATACAGTCATGTGCCCGTGACAGAGGAATGGGTAAGTCTTACGGTGTTTCAATACCTCGCAGACATCTAACCTACGTGTGGCCTACAGTACAGAAACCTCTCAGAGAACCAAGTTAGAAAAGTTAGCCAGCAGCTCAACCCCGCCGAGAACAGGATAACAAGAGCCTGTGCAGTATGTATAACTTGTAAAGTACCTTGGCCTTGGTAAAAGCTGAAATTCACCAGCTGTTAAGCTCAAATGTTGCCGTTTTACGCTTAAAATCCGAGAAACAAAATACCAGCTCGCCCGGCGGAGACACTGCAGCGCCTCGAAAACAAAACAAGCTGAGGGTGACTTTAAAATGTCCAACCATAACTCTTCCCTGGACCACCTCTAATCCTGTACACCGGTAAAACTATTACACACAGACATCACGCTCCATGTCCAATCGATCCAAACTAGCGTAACTACTCTATCTACAACACTATATTGTTTACATATATTTGCACAACATCTAAAGACACGAATATGCAAAAAACAATGCGAACCCCGGTAAACATCACGGCTGGCCAACAGGGATGGCGCCGTGGCACATGTGACGCAAATGGATGTCGAAACCAAAGGAAAAGGGTGAGCGTGGCTCGCCTGTTCATCAATCAGCATCGTGTGCTTAACTTACCTGCCTCTGTTCTCGGGCAGTCTTAATCCCACAGATTATTACAAAACACATACGCCGTATTTACTAGATCAAAAACATTTCTGAATCTAAGAAGTGTGAGTATTGCTCTGCACGGTTCCCCCTCTGTGCGCTCGCCTTGGTTTAACCCGTGTTTAACTTCACCGTGCAGATCCATTGTATTTGCAGCACAGTTCATTATGCGCGAAGAAGACCAGAGTTACACCCCGCTTTCCCAGGGGAAAACGCTCATGTTTTCGCCCTAGATACCTGCCTTCTCCCATGATGAGGCTGCACGGCAGTGTGTTAACGTTAAATCAGCTGCAAAACCCGGAGGGCTGAGTGGATGCGGTGTCCTTTACCAGCGCATCCTGTCTACATGTCTACTGATGAGCAGAGGAGATGACAGACTTGTATGGCATAAAATTCACCCAGGAGTGAAGAACCACCCGCACCGACAAGCGTGAAAGAGATCTGGAAGATGTCATCGTGGCTAGACTGAGGCTAGCCTGGTCTAAGACTTAAGTAACGTTAATTACGTTGGCGCACGTATCCGGGCCAGTTGGACTGGACTGATAGGTGGAGGGAGGGTTAGCTGTGCTGTGGCATTGATGGCTGCACCTCGGTGTCTATTTGTCTGTGCAGCTCTTAGATACTAGCTACGACTCTGACTCCATATTTCTAGCTGCTAAAATTGTGAAATAGTGTTTTAGTAGCAGTTTTAATTCGTAAGGATAACTCAAACCCTAGTTGTGTCGTGTAGGTTCTGTTTACATCTCCATCCATGGTTACTGTTAGCATCTAGCTTAAGCCTAACCAGGCGTTCACGCCACTGACTCGCACTGCGCCTGTCAATATGCATACTCGTTAGTACAGTCCTTATCACACAAGGTTTTGATGCAGGTTATATGGTTTATTGGTGCTATAAGAGCACGGGGGCGCTGAGATAGGCCACCTGTGGACTGTCACAGGCTTCATGTCCAGGTTTTTCCGTGAACGAAAACTAGCTGGGATTAAGTATTACTGACTGGACCATCAACAGAAAGTACAAGTCCAGTTGCAAAGACCTGTAAAGGCAGGTTTTACGCACAAGCGCACCTGTCATTCATTCATAGTGCAGCCGAAAGGGAGATACCCGCATCATGGATTTGAACGACAGCACTTCATTGGCCGAACTTATGGCCAGATACCAGTCCACTGAAACTGGGTACCGGGTGCCAAAGGATGGATGGAGGATCTGTCTGGCTCACGAGTTCAAAGAGAAAAGAACACCGTTACAGGCCAAAAACGTGTCACTCTCCGACATAGCCAAACACATTGGCTTGGGGCTCAGGTGAGTAACCATAAAACCCATGTAAGCATGGTTTGAGAAGCGTCTGTGGCAATCTTTACAAGGGATCCCTTGTTTTTCCTCTTTGTTGCTATAGTGCATGTAACTACAGAGCTGAACCACAGGTAAACAGAACAGAAAGTTTTCTGTTTGAGAAAAGTGGCATTCATTTTGGTGATGCATTTTTTTCCATGAAAGGCTTTGTTTGCTCTGTATCAACTCCTGGAGCAGCGATAAAGCGACCTACAGAAACATATTAAAGCCTAGTTTATTTCAGAGGTTTGTGCAATATCACTCTGACTTTAGTTCACAACAAGGGAACAGTGCAAGAAAACTTTGTTTTTGTAGTCTTTAAATAACAGATACAAGCGTGTCCTCTGGTTTGCTTTACTTTCTTCAGTACCTAGAACGTAGGTACCTGTGGAGTAGCCCCCAAAAACTCAGTTTTTAGTGCTTTATCACCTTTGCAATTGCTTACAGCAGTAAGTTATCATTTGACACTTTTCTTGTCTTAGAAATCACTGCCAGCAGCCTCCTGTCATAACTTGTTTTCAGGGGGAAGACTGAGCTGGTATTTACAGTTTGCAGCAAATGCGTGTGTGTTCACTGGTGAACTTGCTGGGATCAGGTGTCGGAGGTTCCCTGTGGGAAATGGGATATGTGTGGATTTAGTCTGGGCCACATACAGTTCAGTGAAATACTTCAGAAACAACAACTTTTATACACTGATTTTGCTGGTCTGAAATGAAAAAGTACACAATGGCAGTTTTGCCTGTAATATTCAACTTAGCTTAATCACAGTAGATGCAACACTGTCTGACAAGTTGGACTGGTATAAGCCCTCCTTGTCCAGGGTAAAGAGCTTCATGTCTTCGTAACAGTGACCTTAGGCTAAATACTTTCCTAGATGCTGTTGTTGTTCTCACCTAACCCAGTAAGAGATTCTGCTTTGTGGTCATTCATACTGAGTTTTTATTCAGTGTTTTGTTCTTTGTTCTGCATTAATGGGAAAAGATTTTGTAGAGAAATCTGATCTTCCAGTTTCTACCTAGAGCATCAGAACCACTTTACAGGAAGTCCATACACACAGCTTAATGAAATACCATAATAAACTACTTACCCATGCCCACAAATAATTTAGATAACATAACAACCATAACAACCTACTAATGATAACCATGTGCTCTGTCCGTGTTGGTTGCGTAAAAAAAAAAAAACTATGTTGCTCGCCATAAAGTCACCAGACAAAAGACCAAGAAACATTTATGTTTCTCTGCTGTGAATTAATCAAATCTGTGTTTGTTACATAACTTTCAGGTTGCGTAACTACAGTGGTGTGAAAAAGTGTTTGCCCCTTCCTGATTTCTCATTCTTTTGCATGCTTGTCACACATAAATGTTTCAGATCACCAAACAAATTTAAATATTAGACAAAGATAACACAAGTAAACACAAAATGCAGTTTATAAATGAAGATCTTTATTATTAAGGGAAAAAGAAATCCAAACCTACAGGGCCCTGTGTGAAAAAGTGATTGCCCCCTAAACCTAATAACTGGTTGGGCCACCCTTAGCAGCAACAACTGCAATCAAGCATTAGCGATAACTGGCAATGAGTCTTTTACAGCGCTGTGGAGGAATTTTGGCCCACTCATTGTTGTAATTGTTGTAATTGTTGTAATTCAGCCACATTGGAGGGTTTCCGAGCATGAACCGCCTTTAAGTCATGCCACAGCATCTCAATCAGATTCAGGTCAGGACTTTGACTAGGCCACTCCAAAGTCTTAATTTTGTTTTTCTTAAGCCATTCAGAGGTGGACTTGCTGGTGTGTTTTGGATCATTGTCCTGCTGCAGAACCCAAGTGCGCTTCAGCTTGAGGTCACAAACAGATAGCCGGACATTCTCCTTCAGGATTTTTTGGTAGACAGCAGAATTCATGGTTCCATTTACCACAGCAAGTCTTCCAGGTCCTGAAGCAGCAAAACAGCCCCAGACCATCATACTACCACCACCATATTTTACTGTTGGTATGATGTTCCTTTTCTGATATGCTGTGTTACTTCTATGCCAGATGTAATGGGACATACACCTTCCAAAAAGTTCAACTTTTGTCTCGTCAGTCCACAGAGTATTCTCCCAAAAGTCTTGGGGATCATCAAGATGTTTTCTGGCAAAACTGAGACCAGCCTTTATGTTCTTTTTGTTCAGCAGTGGTTTTTGTCTTGGAACTCTGCCATGCAGGCCATTTTTGCCCAGTCTATTTCTTATGGTGGAGTCATGAACACTGACCTTAACTGAGGTAAGTGAGGCCTGCAGTTCTTTGGATGTTGTTGTGGGGTCTTTTGTGACCTCTTGGATGAGTCGTCACTGTGCTCTTGGGGTAATTTTGGTGGCCGGCCACTCCTGGGAATGTTCACCACTGTTCCATGTTTTCGCTGTTTGTGGATAATGGCTCTCACTGTGGTTCACAGTGGTCCCAAAGCTTTAGAAATGGTTTTATAACCTTTTCCAGACTGATAGATCTCAATTACTTTGTTTCTCATTTGTTCCTGAATTTCTTTGGATCGCAGCACAATGTCTAGCTTTTGAAGATCTTTTGGTCTACTTCACTTTGTCAGGCAGGTCCTATTTAAGTGATTTCTTGATTGAGAATAGGTGTGGCAGTAATCAGGCCTGGGTGTGGCTAGGGGATTTCTTTTTTCCCTTAATAATAAAGATCTTCATTTATAAACTGCATTTTGTCTAATATTTAAATTTGTTTGGTGATCTGAAACATTTAAGTGTGACAAACATGCAAAAGAATAAGAAATCAGGAAGGGGGCAAACACTTTTTCACACCACTGTATATGTACAAACATGACTGCCTAGGATAACTGCAATTATATTTTAAATTAAAATCTACAGTAGTGGGTTACATTTAGATATATTTCATTTTGCAGTGAAGTTTGTGCTAATTATTTGATCAATGATCTTTAAGGCTCTGTGAACAACCTTTGGTTTATCAGAATATTCACAGAACCTTCAAGAGGAATATCTGACTATGGCCACTGCATTGAAAAACATTTTGTGAATATCTGGCTTAAGAGCTTTATGCCTTGAATGCTATGACACTGACTCTGTCAATCTGTCAGTTCTTCCCAATAAATCGTACAAATGTACATCATACAAATCATACAAATGACCCCAAGTCACTAGGTATCAACACAGTTCTGTCACATAGTTGTTTTGCTTCTGTGAGTGTTTTCTGCAACCGGTCAAATTTTACTCTATTTGATTGCAAAATGAGATTAAGTTTTCCAGTATTGACTGTAAAATTTATGACATCTGGAATTGAGCCTAGTACATTGCAGACTTTGTCCAAACACTAGTGCTCCATACAAGAAGGACAATGATTGTATGCAGTTTTAGAACTGATGTTCCATTAATTTACACAAATTGCTATAGGGACATATTTGCTTTCCTCAATACAACCTTAAGCCTATTTATATTCTATAGGATTTGTGCAATGTCTAGGTGTGGTTCATGGGGCCCTAAGGCAGTTACAGTTAATAATTGAGCCACAGTGATCTCGAATAATACTTTGGGTCTTTGTTAATGATTGAACTGTCTTCAGAGACCAGTGGATTCACAGTTAGCTGTCAACTTTAACTTGGAATCCACATTTCAAGGCCCTCTCCTTCTTTCTTTTTCATTGTTCACACACATAGCATTCAACTTTTGGACAAAGCTGAGGTCGGACCCCCTCCTCTTGTACAGATTTATTCTTCTTACAGTCACTGAACTGACACTGTGTTAGTTTGACATAGACATACCAGCTGCTTTAACACCAATACAAAGAACTTCTTGCACTGGCTTATGGCAAAATGAGTGGTGTATGAAAACCATATTACCAGTGTTGTCAACAACAGCTTGTAAGAGGGTTTTTTTTTTTTGTAAGAGGGTTTTTTTTTTTTAATTTGTTATCTATAGAAATGGTCCACAAGTACACAATTTTATATAGCAGAAAAACCTGTTATTAAAAATAAAACACTTATTAAAAATAAAATTAAAGCTGAGCAAAATTAAAGGACAACATTCACACTGACTAAAACAGGACTGTCAATCCAATCCAAGTCCAACAAACAGAGCTAGAATCTGCCCTTTCACACAGATCTGAGACCAGTTTTTACTGTTTCTCAAATACTGAACACTGAAAAGCAGAAAATGGGGAAAGGAGGAGGGTTAATGATCTGTAAAAAAGGGCTAACCCTAGCCAAACAGAGACAATTCCCAGCTTTATCCCCCAGTCCCATAATGCAGTCTGTTCTTTTCTGTTTGTCAAAGGCCTCTGTTTCCAGCAGCTCTTGTGCTGAGTGCTACAGTCCTACAAACAGCTGTGCGTGCCTTTATAAAGAGAGAGAAGCAGAGTGTGGGAGACATCAAGAAACTATAAAAGGACAAACTGGAGATTAACAGGATCTTAGATTTCGAAGTGTTGAATCTTGTGTCGCATATTGGAGATATTATGTGGGACACTATATTTAAGTTTTTAAAAAAATTAATATTTGGGGGGGGAGAGAGGGAGAAAATGAAGGAAGTGGCTTCTGTGCATATAAGTCATGACTAGAAGAATTTATCATGGATCCAAGACCTGTTTCTACACTATATCCACACAATAATTACAAAGCATCGTGTCCATCCAAAAATTGATGGAAGAGAGAGGAAAGAACAGTTGTTTATGTCTGACTCACTGTCATGGCACTGCAAACTACAGTACAGTACGTGTAACAAATGAATAACTGTGTTTCAGTATTTAAATTTCAATATTTAAAACAAAACCTGCACAGTCTCACTCTTTTTTTCTCTCTCTCTCTCTCTCTCTCTCTCTCTCTCTCTCTCTCTCTCTCTCTCTCTCATCAATCACTGTCTTAATACACTTGTTTGCATCTGTGTGATAGAGACAGATAGAGAAACATTGTAGGATTATTCCTATGGTCAGAAAGCTTTTGGAACATTTTTGTTCAAAACTGCATCTTCATTTCATGTTTGTGTGTGCAGGTATCTAAAATGGTGGTACAAGAAAACACAGGTGGAAAAGAAGGCACCCTTTATCGACATGTTTCGGCCATTGCCTCTGAGGCAAATTTATGGCAAGTCTGGTACAAATGTCTAGAAGAGCATACAGAAAATATCTCAGCACATCATAATCATCTGCTCACAATCATTCACAATCCTTTTTGTAGGTGCACCTCTTGGTGGTATTGGGGGAGGTACCATTACCCGTGGATGGAAGGGAGAATTTTGTAGGTGGCAGCTCAACCCAGGAATGTACCACTACAAAACAGTTATTGCTGACCAGGTAAGGCTCATCATCAAAGACATTTTAACGTCAATCAAATGATCAAGTTAGACAACTACAAAAGCACTTGACTAGTGCACATTCAACTAAAGATATATTAAGAAAGGAGAACATCTGTATTCAAGAAAATAAAATGTTAAAACCACTAGTAAAACAATTAGCCACAAGTCTGGGAACTACACAGCTGAATTATTCATGTTATAAATACTGCAGTAACTCTCACTGTTAGAGAACATTACTGAGATCATTCGGTAACGTAGAATATAAGCCAGTTCACAAAGAAAAGTTCCGAACAGCCACTTTTTTTAATTTTTCGAATGTTTTTGTATAATACCTTCATTTCTGGAAATGTTTTTGCACAATATGAAGGTATAGACTAAGGTCGAATGTGACGTTGTACAATTCTAGCAGATGTATTTGTCCCTATTCATTACTTTTGCCACTTCCTTCATGCACTCCTCTCTCTCTCTCTCCTCTCTCTCTCTCTCCTCTCTCTCTCTCTCTCTCTCTCTCTCTCTCAGTTTACAGTGTGTCTGCGTAGAGACAGTGGGACAATTTACCAGCAGGTGTTGTCTACTGAGCACCCTCACACGCTGCAGGGTTGGAACTGGGGTTACTGTGGCGAATATGGCTTTTACCATGCTCTGTACCCTCGAGCCTGGACCGTCTACCATCTGCCTGGCCAGAATGTCACGCTCACCTGCAGGCAGGTGTCACCTGTCATTCCACATGAATACAAGGTAACTAGCTGATTACTGGGTGGTGTTTTCAAAGTCAAATATTCCACTTTTAGTTTCACCAAAATACAGTACAGTATTTGTCTTACTTAAAGAACCTTAATGCAACAGTCAAGTAAAAAAATCAAATTTGTAGTTTTCCCTTACCCCAAATGTAGTCAATCAGCTTGACATGTTTGGTTTCCAAAGTTTGCTTCTTTTGTTTTGCACTGGGCCAACAAGGCTAATGTATCTTAAAAAGTAATGGAAGCTATAGCCATCTGTTAGTACTTTTTAAACTGCATGTCTAAATTTCCACACACTTCACACGCCTTCAGTGAGTAATAGGTATACAATTTACATAGTGCTAAACTTGTTAGCAACATTAAACTTGTTTGGCTAGATTTGGGGTAAGCAGAAAGTTGTGTACATTAGTTTTAAATACTTTTCTTTTCTGCAGATGTTAAGCAGAGAATAATTACTAGCATAGTAAGTGCTAATAAAACTTCCCGATCGATAATTCGGCATATGAGCCAGTTGCAAATAAATTGGTATTGGCGTTTATAATGGCCAATAAATGAGAAAAACAGAAATGGAGAAGTGGAGGACAGATCCTTCAACTATTCTATGAGTGTTGTCATTGCATTGCCCATCAAGCTCTGCAGCTTCCCTGTTAGCAACACACCCCACAAATCACAACAGTCAGCCGACCTGAGTTGAGAGGGTGCTGGAGCCCATCCCAGCATTAATTGGGCAGAAGACAGGAAACAACCTGGACAGGTTGCCAGTCCATCACAGGACACTTTTGTCACATGAAATACATTACTTAAAAATTAATGTAAATATCCACATCTCGTCTCCTCTAAGCCTCAATATGCTTGGCAGCACTGATGTCAGCCATGCCTGTTTTTGTTGCAGTTCCGTGAAAGCTGATGTCAGGGAAACATCAAAATTAGCCTATGTTTAGCGTTATGGTAGTTGAGTGGTGTAGGCTAAGCTGTTGACCGACTTTACTGTAGATTTTTTATGAAACTGTGTGGCAGTTCTATCGAGTAAACAAACAATGGTCCTCTTTTCTCCCTAGCTTGGCACTTCTAAAAATTCTCTGGCAACATTGCTTACAGCAGCTTGTAACATTGTTCATTGCTAAATCAGATTACCCACAAAGCTAGCTAATGCTGTGTTTATCAGTGGAAAACAACAAACATTAATGAGCGGTAAAACTTTAGCGTTTAACTTATTCTGTCTAAATTACAAAGCTGAAGTCAGCTTCTTATTCGCCAGCTTCTTGTTTGAATTTTCCCATTCCACCTTACATGGTGCAGCAGTTACAGCAGTACAGCGCCAGAATGTAAATGCTGTACTATTTAAGATGGAACAGGAAAATTTGATCAGGAACCCACCTTAAGCCTCATGCCTAAATGAAGCAATGGTTAATGTGTCTTGGACTCTCATGTCTATAGTTATTGTAGTCATTGGAAATTATTAAACCAGAGGGGACATGTAAATAAATGTGAGCTGAACAAGTATCTCACATGGCTTAGTTAGCCAAACAAAGTTATCTAGCTTCTCTTTCAAACGTGTAGTGTGTGTTGTAATGGTACTGTTTTCTTAGAGCGCAGAGCACATTCATATTCTGTGAGATGTTATTCGGTTCTCAAAACGAGCTCCATATAGCTATGAGTATCACACCATGTTCAGATGCTCCCGCATGTAATCTGGCTAATCATTTAAATTCTGTAAATGATAATATGACGGATGTTTGTGTTCGTAACACTAATGTCACAGTGTGAGATCTCAACGTTGTGAGTTTATTTTTAAACTGCATTGTCATGTTGTTTTGATGAAGATCTTAAATAATTACACATAATAAATGTTAGGGAAATTGTTATGTATTTCTGACAAAGAAAAAGAATATCGGTCGATATATCGATTATATCGGATTTTTAAATCCTCAAATATCGAAATCGGTATCAGTCTTAAAAGTCCTATATTGGTCGGGCTCTTGGAAAAAAGAGTCTACCATAAAATATTTAAAATATTTTATATTTTAAAATATTTTAGAAAGTATTAAAAAAACTCCACTAATTTACTGTAACCAAACTGCCCTCTTTCTATAATTCTCACCCTTGATTGCAGGACTCCAGTCTTCCTGTTGCTGTGTTTGTGTGGGATATAGAGAACAAGAATGACTATGCATTGGATGTCTCCATCATGTTTACCATGGTCAATGGGTCAGGCCACAAAGACGATAAAAGCGGGGGTCACTGGAATGAACCATTCAACTTGGAAAAGGAGGGAGAGTCTGTGTCTGGGGTTTTGCTCCACCACTGCACTTCTGTGAATCCTTACACTCTATGCCTGGCAGCGCGAAAACAGGTGACACACCTTCATAATCAGGACACTCAGGGGGACAACAAGCATGAATGCTATGTCATGTAACAACTTTTAACCATTTTGAGTGTGATGTGAAACATGCAAGGAGAGTAATCTCTGGTTACATGCACTGCATTACATGATTGTATGAACGGTGGGCTCAAGTTTCTCTGTGCAAATTAGAGAATTATAAGGTTGACTGGTTGTAAAGATTTGTGGCTACAAACTATACAGATACACAGCATGGCCAGAAATATGTCAACACAATCAGTAGGGTTTGGCTTTTTCAGCCACACCCATAGCTAAGAAGTGCATTAAAACATACAAGCAGCCATGCAATTTTCATAGACAAACATGGTCAGTAGAACTGGTTGTACTAAAGAGCTCAGTGGCTTAGTGTAGCACTTGTAGGATGTCACATGTCCAACACGTCAGTTCATCTGCCTTGCTAGAACTGACACAGTCAATAGTAAGTGCTGTAATTGTTAAATTTAAACATGTAGGAACAGACCAGTTATGACATGCCAGGGCACACAGGCTCATTGAACAAGACAATCAAGTTCTGAAGAACAATGCACTTAAATGGTCTGTCCTCAACTGTATATCCTCCACATTCCAAACTGCTTCTGGATGCAATGTTAGCAAAAAAAAACTGTTTGTCAGGAGCTTCATGGATTGAGTGTTCATGGCCAAAAAAGCCTAAGATCACAGAAGAAACTACTTGGGAGGTGTAAAGCATGTCGCCATTGTACTGTGGAGCAGTGGAAAAGATTTCTCTGCAGCGCTGAATCACACTTAAGCTTCTGGACAAATCTGGTGGATGTAGAACACTACCTGCCCAAATGCACAGTGCCAGCTGTAAAGTTTGCTGGACAAACCGCACATTGTGAGCAGGTTATGATCTGATCACTCAAACTACATTCGGAGGTGGTCAGAGATGGATCTTGATCACACTTAACTCGAGCGTAAACAGAATGTGTTTTTGTTATCCGTATATAATTAGGTGAGCGGGAATGTGTCTGCTGAGTGTTGACTAGCAGGCGAGAGAATAAACAACAAAACAAAAGATGAAGGATATGCAAGACTGAAGTTAGCCCCAAACCAAGAGCCTTGATGTACTCTGGAACGATGTCCATTCTTATAGTAATGGAGAAAAAGAGTAAACCAAATTTCTCTAGAATTATGCATTTCACATGAAACCACTTTTAGTGACTTCATTTATTATCTTATGTATTGATTTATGTAGAAAAAATGTGTGAAATTCCTCTTCATTTACTATAATCTACAAAAAGCAGTTACAATTCCATAGTTTTATGCTTTGTGTTTTAGTCTGACAGAGAGATCAGCTATCAGACTGCATTCAGTCCAAAGGGCACCTGCAGCGCTCTGTGGAGTGACTTCATTAAAGATGGCCGGTTGGACTCACCTGAGGGTCCCAGCCCTCCCACACAAAAAGGAGAGACCGTGGCAGCTGCACTGGCAGCGGGCTGCTCTGTGGCTGCTCAAGGACACAACAGTGTAGAGTTTAGTCTGGCCTGGGACATGCCAAAAATGACTTTTGGCTCAAGAGAGAAGGAACACAGGAGGTACACACCCTTTTACACCAATATACAATCACATAATGCAGGATATTTCAATCAGGAATTTCTGGCTAGGTCTGCCTGATGCTTTGTACTGCCACAAGCAATGTTTGCAATTAAAGTAATTAACATACCTTTGCTTAAGGATTGGTATCATACCTAACTTGCAGTTTCTTACTTTACCCACCTGTAATAATGGAAGGAATGTGTTTGGATTGCTTTCATGATGGCACATGGCCATCTGTTCTTCACTAACTGATGACTTTGTATTTACTACGAAACAGCACAATGTTATATGCTTTTTTTTCCCTTTGTTCAGACGATATACCCGTTACTATGGCACCAAAGGGGACGCAGGCCCTTCTCTCTCTCACTACGCACTTACACACTACAAAAACTGGGAGAAGAGCATTGAGGAATGGCAGAGACCCATTTTGGAAGATAGGTAACCACATTTTTCTATTTAGAAATATTCTACAGACTACAGAATAAGTTGATTTTGTTAATATACATTTACAGTGCATAATTTAAAGCATTTATAAACTCCCTAATCTGGATTGAGTAAAATTAATTCATATTTTATTAAGTCTGTCCTGGAATAAACTTGATTCTCTTGCTCTTTGTATGTCTTTGTTTTAGTTCTCTTCCTTCCTGGTATAAATCAGCTTTATTTAATGAGCTATACTTTGTTGTGGATGGTGGAACTGTATGGGTGGAGCTTCCTGAGGACTGTGATGTCAGTGGAGGGCTCCGCCCTCAAGAAGGTGGTCTTCCAGCCCAGCCCCCTATCATCAAGGAGTATGGCCGCTTTGCTTATTTAGAGGGTGAGTGACTATTTTCAGTATTTCGTTGAAAAAAATGGTGTATTATTTTAGTACAATTTTGGTATCAGTGCAGTTACCTGAGATGAGTGTCTTTTGTGTTACATGAAGTCTATACCACAGGTACATACTGGATGATACAAATTATAATGTAACAAATAGGCACCAGTGGAAATGCTTGGAAAAACCATTTGTTTAAACCAAACTGAGCTGTTTTAAGTCTCTGTATTTATACATTTTACTTGCCACTGCTGTGTCGCTGACCGGCATCTCTCCAAGCATACAAACTTAAAAAACAGCATGTAGCACATTCAACAGAAGAAGACAGGAGAGAGATGTGGGGTATGTGATCTGGGGCAGTAAATTCAGATCTCTAAAGAATTTTTGAGTACTGGTCGATTATGGATTATGCCTGTGTGGTTTTGCCAGTTTCTAGAATTAAACTAATGACCTATTACTCTAATTTATCATTTAATTGACATGTTGTGAATGCAGTACTGATGCATGTAAATGAAAATAGAGGGAAGCTGAAGTGTTATGCTTTTCTCTCCCTGGAAACAACCCTGCCTGATCTCTGGCCAGGCAAATGAAGTGTTAATCTTCCACATCCATGTTTAATATGCTTTTCTCTCTTTACCAGGTCAGGAGTACAGGATGTACAACACATATGACGTGCACTTTTATGCTTCTTTTGCACTCATCATGCTCTGGCCCAAACTGGCTTTGAGTCTGCAGTATGATATGGGTAAGGGGAATCATTTTGCCATACTTTGTAAATATATGAAGAAACACCTAAAAAAAACTGCAACTCTTGCATCCATCTTTTTTCATCTCTCTTCATTGTCTGGTTGTTATTATTACCTTGTCTTACCCTCTCTGTCCTTTTCTAGCTGGCAGTGTGGTGCAGCATGACCCCACAGAAAGGATGAATCTAATGACTGGTAGATGCTCAGCAGTGAAGACCCAGAATGTAGTGCCTCATGACATTGGGGACCCAGGTCGGTAAATGCTGCTTTTTCATTTTAGGAGGTGTTAGAACTTACCCTTGCATCAAACTGCATCTGAGCGTGGCTCAGTTGGTGCAAGTTTGCAAGTTCGATCCTCTTAGATGCCACAGACATTCGAGGCCAGGAGTCCAAGACAAAAAGCAGTGGCTGGCTTCACATGGAAGCATATGCTAGCCTCAAACATAGGCCACTTTTTCACTATCGAGCCAAATGGTTCTCAGGGCCGTACTGCGCTGGTCCGGACTCATAAGACCAATTACAGTTTCTGTTTCCATCTATTGTACCGTATTTGAGGATCTGTTACTGTCTGTTAGCCTGTACTGCAGTGGGTTTCACCTGTAGCCGGATAACTACATTAGCATTAGTGTCGCCCGGCAGGGTACAGCTCGAAGCACCACAGAACAATTTTATTGTTCATCTTTCGGTCACTAGTCATTCAAATTTGTGCTCTCAGGTATCATCTAAATTTGTGTCAGTAAAGCTTTTGTTAGTCAGAATTGAATCTGTTCTGTGGTGAGCAGCGCTGGCAGCATGCTAGCTAAGCTAACGCTAATCAGCTACTCTCTTTTAGCTGGTCAGGCAGCGCCGTTCAACATTTAGAAACTGGTTTTAGATTGAAGCTTTGATTTTTATTGAATGATGGATTTAAAATCATGCACTGCTTTCATTTATTTGAGCAAACTGAATTTATTCGAATGCTTTCGGGTTTGAAATGTTTTGTAGTGGGTATGTGTGTAGGTATTAGGCCGTTAGAATTATTTGGCTCTGCAGTGAAAAAGAGGCCTATGATATTTTTAGAAAACTGGGCCCTGGACCTAATGCAGAACATTAAACGGAAGTAAGTCCAGTTCTGGCCCAGAAGATGTTTCTTTTTTTATTTCTTTTTAGGCAGAGACATACAAGATATATCTAGAAGATAATACACTAAAATTAACTGCCTTCCCTGAGAATGTCTGTTGTGTGGAAAGTGTAAACTTTATGTTTCTGACAATCACTGTAACGATTTTTGTCTCCCTGACCAGATGATGAGCCTTGGACGCACCTCAATGCTTACCAGATTTACGACACAGCTGACTGGAAAGACCTGAACTTGAAGTTTGTTCTACAGGTTTACCGTGACTACCACCTAACTCAAGATACACAGTACCTGCAGGATATGTGGCCCATATGTCAGGTGAGTTTCAGAGTGCTGTGTCATCTGGACAGGTTTGTTTAAAATGAAAACCAGTGATGTGTTTAGGATGAGATTTAAGGATTACTTACTAATCAGCTTATTTATATACTATGTATACACTATACAGAAAAAACAATCATTAATAGAGAAGTTCCACCTGTCACTTAGCATACTGGACACTGATTGGTATTTCTAGGCAGTTATGGAGGCTGAATTGAAGTTTGATAAGGATGGGGATGGGCTGATAGAGAACTCCGGCTATGCTGACCAGACTTACGATGGATGGACTGTGACAGGACCCAGGTTAGTTATGAATAATACTGAATATATGTAACAGGTCATTTCAGAGGCGTAATTATTACAAATCCCATCAAAAATTTCAGAAAGTCTGCTAAAATGTGGCATCTCAGTGTACTGACTTTAAACCATTTAAATGTAACCAGTAGTTCCATTGGTGTGTGTTTCAGTGCATACTGCGGGGGTCTGTGGATAGCCTCTGTTTGTGTAATGTGTAAGATGGCACAACGTCTGAAGAGTGATTCTGTATACGAACGCTACCGAGACATCTTGGAGCGAGGTAGCGCAGCCTTTGATAAGCTACTGTGGAATGGTGAGTATGGATGTTTATCAATTAGAAAGACTTTACTTTTTACTCACCAGAAACCAATTTATTGATGCCCAACATGTCCAAGGCCAGAAACCTTTAACCAACTGAATTGTGTACATTTTATATTGTTGTTGTCTGCCATATTCTAGGCTAGGGCTGGGTAGTTTGACAATATGTATTGTTATTGTGATAACCTACATCACAATTTGTCACAATAAGCTTTTCTGAGTTTATCATAGATATTGTCAGTACTTCTAAAACACTGACCAACTGCACTTAAATAGAGCATAATTAGTCTTGTTTAATTGGATGTGCAACACAGTATGTGAAATGTTAAATAAAAAAGATTTGTACTTTATTTGTAAGTTTTTGATAGTATTTGTTAAATGTGGCATTTCTGGCTTTTTGCCTGTTCAAACATTTCTGAGAAAATAAATACTGTGACATAGAGTATCATGAAGATTTCTTTAAGTATTTTGATCATTTTTGGCATGTTGTCCACCTCTATTCAAGGCTACACTATTTTGTGTCATCCATTGACAGATTGTTTCTAGCTGGTCTAAAATGGGCTGAACTTGTGGACGGCTTCTTTTGCACCAGTTTAATTTGTGCATAGAATAAAGCAGCAGAGTTACCAAGCACTGTCTCAATGGCAAAATGATACTGTTGGTCAAGGTCAAGACTTTTGGTGTTGGTACAGTGATTTGCTTGTCAGATCACCCAAGCAGTATTATTCTTCACTGAAACGCACCCTGTGGCTGTCTCTTTCTCAGGCAAGTACTATAACTATGACAGCAGCGGGCGAAGCCTGTCGAACAGCATTATGTCTGACCAGTGTGCAGGTTATTGGTTCCTGAGGGCATCTGGACTGGGAAATGACGAGCTCCAGGTTAGTTCTATTTGTAATTTTCTTACCCATGAATAAAGGTTAAAAGTGAGTGCAGCTGTTAGACTAGTCACAGTCTCGTTTCCACTGATCTTTTAATACTGTTATTATAAAGCTATTAGCTTAAGATGCATCAATTAACTAACATCAACTAATATGTTTCAGCTTCATTTTAAACCACAGATGTGTATGTCGGTGATGTGTTCTTAAATGTCTGCTTTCTTTCCCCAGACTTTCCCTAAGGAGAAGATCCGTAGTGCTCTTAAATCTGTGTTTGATTTTAATGTGATGAGCTTTGGTGGGGGGCAGATAGGAGCTGTGAATGGAATGAGACCAGAGGGGGTGCCTGATCGCTCCAGCATCCAATCAGATGAAGTCTGGGTTGGTGTAGTCTATGGATTGGCAGCTACTATGATTTATGAGGTTAGTACTGAGTTTAAAGAAGACTTATGCTTCTAGACATCAGATGTGATAGTGATCAGTGATAGCTCATCTGAAGCAGCCTCATTTACTCAAGACTGATCCAACACCAAAACCTACCAATTTATAAGGATTTTACTTTGCTATTTTTAAACAATAACATTTTGTATGGAGATTTTTCAGATCATCTGAAAATTTGCCTAGTACATTTCTATTTCTTGCCATTAAAAATGCTCTTAGAGTTATTACTTGTATCTGCTTGTTAACTATCTGGTTCTCTCTGTTTACTCTATCTTTTAGGACATGCTGGAGGAGGGCCTGCACACTGCTGAAGGTTGTTACCGGACAGTGTGGGAACGAGCAGGAATGGCTTTTCAGACTCCTGAGGCATACTGTGAGAAGGGAATCTATCGCTCTCTGGCCTACATGAGACCTCTCAGCATCTGGGCCATGCAACTGGCCCTGGACAAAACTGGCCAAAGCTACAGACCCAGACAGCCATCAAATTCCTGAGGAGACACAGGGGCTCAATGAAGTCATTAAAGATAACTGCTGTTTTCTTTTGCACATAAGCTCTCTGACCCCAACACATGTTACACTTTGTATAAATTCAAATGTGAATTAAAACTGACGTTTACTCACTGAAGATGCATGTGTATGTAGCAATTTTGAGTTTAGTTTTGTGAATGTGGATGCTTCCATTTGGGGTACCAGGTTTTACAGACACACAATATTCCCCTCAGACAAACTGATCAAGGCTTTGGTCAAAGTAATGAGAACTAGACAGCCAAGGCATGCGTTTGTTTAGCTACTTCTAAAGATAGTGTGAGGGCTAATGAACTTGAAATTACTTTGCTGTGATTTATGATTCATTCCTGTGTGAGGTAGCGTCCATCTGCAACTTTGACTCTTTATCTTAAACATACAGATTTTAAATAAACAAATAGACCAACTTGAGTTACTTTTTAAGACCTGAATGATTTTGAATGCTTGCTGTACTCAGTATAACTGTTGCAGTCCACTAGGTGGCATAATATCACCATTCAATATGATATGCAAACTGAAAAACAGTTTGCATATTGCACAACTGTAGACTTGTAGATGTTACTGTTTCTTCAATGGACAACATTAGGTAATCAAATATCAACAGGGCTGAAGGCTAATTTAAGTGTCCCGTTTGATCTATTCCCTTTCATATTTTGCTACTATGTAAAACTGAAACTATGTGTTTTAAGTACTTGCCAATACTGATTCTTACACCATAATAAATAACCTACTTAGAATCAAGTAGCTGTTAGTGTAAATGAGTGCAATGTATCTTATGCAGCTGATTTTAAAGGCAGTGTCTACATTAAATAGTAACTGCACTACTCACACAGCCTGGCTTTTTGCACAAACTCCTCCAAGTAAATCATGTAACTATAGCACATCAAAACACTTCTTTTTGCTATCTATGAACAGAAACTGGGCAGCATTGGGAGAAGCTGTGTACAAGGAGGAAGTGCAAAGTATATTATTCACAAAATATTACACCAAATATTGTATATAAAACATCAATCTAACATTAACAACTGCTAAAGGTTCAATAGTGTTTTCCGTCTTTGGACATTAGAACGGTTGATAGTGTAGTGAATAACACCACTGCCCTGCTTAATAAACTGGCAGTGCATTGTACATATTTTAGAATTTTGCTACACTGTTTTCTTTACATATGTAGAGACTGAATAATAGTTTTTTCTGTTTTTTCAATAAAATTTGGGACTTTAAATTTTATCATTTTAATTCAAGGGATTATGTTAATGCACTGCTCATGTTTCTAAATGATCATGCGCTATTCATTATCGTTTTAAGTTTAAAAAAAATTAATTTTTTGTTCAGAACAACTTCAACTGCTGTAATTAAAATTAACTGGGCATGGACATATGCAATTTAAAAACATACTTACGTAAATATATGCAAGTGTGGATGTAATCAGTATTAAACATTAACTCCCTGATAATAGAGAGAAAGTTGGAAGCTTGGGAAAAAAAACAAGCATTTAATTGCTGAATCAGTCTCAAAGTATTGTATAAAACTACATATAATTACATAAAAATAAAATAATACTATTTACAATAAGTCTACATAGCACCATCATTCTGTTCACATTAAGCAAAAATATTAAAAAAGGGGCTAAAATCGCACTGGGTTCATACCTCATACCAGTATCAAGATTGATGCACCCCTAAAATAAACCTATTTTCCAGTTTTTATGTCTGTATGAAGAAATAATAAATTAATCTCAGTTTTAACATATTTAAGCAAGTTTTATATGATTTATTTAAAAATCATGAAATTAACAGAAAAGACTTGGCTAAAAAGAGGAACAGAGGGTACAAGGGGCACCTTTAAGCCCACCTGCATTCCCAATAAGCCTAGTCAGTGGTTTATTTCAGAACAATGCTTGCTTTTAATAACCGTTAAGATCATGAACAACATTATTACCATTAAAAGGAGGATTAATAATGAAGATTTACACCAGAAATCATTATTAATAAACATTTTCAACATTTTATGCCTTCAGGCTAGAGATGTTCCCTGTAAAGGCTGAATTACACTCCTGCCTCTGCATATTATTAAAAACATGGGGGCATCAAGTGCAGACCTTTGCAAAGGTGTCTGCCAACACACTTGATCGTAACGTAAACGTGCACTACAGCAGTGTTTCTCAACCCTGTTCCTGGAGGCCCACTGCCCTGCACTTTTAGTGTTTTCCCTGCTCCCAACACAACTGATCCATCTAATCAGCTTATTAACAGCCCATTATTGAATTAAAGTGGGAGGATAATCACTAAAATGTTCAGGGCAGTGGGCTTCCGGGAACAGGCAGGAGAAACACTGCATTAGGGGATAACCTCCAAACCAGAACGCATAGCAAACCAAGAGGAAAGCGTTTTTTCCTGTCTTTTCTAGAATTAATACTCACTTCACTGTTTTTGCGATATTTGGCAGTTTTTTTTTAAATGTTCATAATGTTGGCACGTCTTCTGCCAGCCGATCCTCAAACTGCTCCATTTGATTTTCTTGAAATTTATTTATATTGTAGCCTCTGTGAGCTATGCTTACCTATGAACCCCTTCTCTGCGACATGACACAGATATGCTTACATATATCTGCATGGAGAATTATATGCCTTAAGTCGACTAGCTGACTGATTGTAGTATTTTCGTCACCTTACAGTTCAGTCTACAAATTTCTTTCATTTTCTAATTAGTTTATTTTACAAAGCTGTAACCAAATAAACCAAAATGTAACTCCGTCCCTGGGTGGGCTCGAACCACCAACCTTTCGGTTAACAGCCGAACGCGCTAACCGATTGCGCCACAGAGACAGAACTGAACACTGCTTTCACACCATGTGATTTCAGGCTACGTCAACCCCCACCCTTCCCTTCGGCATGACAGTCTTTACAAGGAAGGAAGCAAGGGGGATGGGTAAGCAGCAGGACAAAGAGCAGATTACATCAACTGCTTTACAGCTAAAAACTGAACCTGTTTTGCATGTGTGTACAGATAACCAGTTTATTCAGTTTCCAAATGATTCTTTTGTCAGACAGTAAGAGAAAATGTAAAGCAGGAATTAAAGATATTTTGAGTTTCACATCTTGTTGGAATCTTGTTGGCTGGTTGAGCTGTAGCTGAATGTCCTATAAAGCTAGACATACTCTGTGATTTTAGAAATCTTTTTCCTTGGTGACTCACACTGTACATTTGAGTAGACCGTTGTGTGCATACAAAGCCTAGACTCAGTCTGATTGACATGCTACGTGAAATGCAGCCTTAACAGACAGCTCTGTCAATTAACAATTTCACATAAACCTGTTTCATTCAAAGTAACATGCTGTGTACCACAAAAGCTGAGCAAATGAGTGCCACTCTGTGCACTGTAACTACATGTGGTCTCACTGCAGCCTATTTTACAAAGACAATTTAAAAAAAAAACTATATTAAAGTCTATACTTCATAATTTAATTCATTCAGAGTAAGGCATAAACGAGTAAGGCATAAACAGTACAAAAAATGTCAAGCTACATGTCTCCACCCACGATGGGAAAGTGGTTGTGACTGAGAGTTTGAAAAACGGGCTAAAATTGCACTGGGTCATCTTTACAATGAAGGAAGCAAGGGGGGATGGGTGAGCAGCAGTATAAAGAGCAGATTACGTCAACTGCTTTGTTCTATAGCTAAAAGGTGAACCAGTTTATTCAACCTCCAAATTATTCTTTTGTCAGCAACAGTAAGAGAAAAGGTAGAGCAGGAATTAAAGATCTGATACATCTTTCTTGACACAGATCTAAAACAAGAAAAGTCTTACGCCCAACGTGGGGCTCGAACCCACGACCCTGAGATTAAGAGTCTCATGCTCTACCGACTGAGCTAGCCGGGCTGACAGCACATGCTTCCAATGCATATTAAAATCAGTACCTTCCGTACTGATTGTATACATAAAGTACATATATGGTCTAAAACATCTAAAATACAATTGTTGTTATAGGGGAATTATGGAAAATCACAAAGTAATTTTGACCGTGCATTCTTACAAAGGTTGGAAATCTTACAGAGAGACTATAATATTCACTACTCAGAAGGGTTTAGTAACTTTATCACAGTAGGAAAAAGCTGATCTTAGCTTTTAAGAAGGAAGTGGTTTGAAAATTATTTTCTTTGCTTGCTTAGAGTTCTTCTAGCCTTATCTCATGGTCAATGGTCATTTTCTTTTTAAATGCTGGTAAAATTTCAACAGGACGAAAATCATGAAAGAATTGGTGTTGGCTCTTGTATTGAAAAAAAAGGATAAAATTTTAGTTATTTGACAACGTAGTGGTATGCAAAAAACTTTCACACGTCCCTGGGTGGGCTCGAACCACCAACCTTTCGGTTAACAGCCGAACGCGCTAACCGATTGCGCCACAGAGACGGAGCTGTTCCGTTAGCTCAATAGAAGTCCACTTCAATGGACAGACACGCTAAGCACATGAAGGAAAGCACAGAGCACTGGAGTGCCAAACAATATCAATTTGAATATAGTAAAATGTTGTTTCTTGCCTTTCCGACTGAAATTGTGGTTGCTGACTGATTTCTTACAGTATGCAGTATAACACGGGAATGCTGCTATTATAAACACCACCCTTTTAGGAACAAGACAGCCCCAAATAAAACTGATCAGTCACACAGTAAAGAATGTGTACGGTCCTGTTTGTATATTCTTTATTATGAGAAAAAATTTGGGAAAAACTTTAATCTTTTCCATCTGAGGGGTTTCACTTGAAGGGCATATGTGTCAATCATTTAAAAAATAAAAGACATACATCCCGCCCAACGTGGGGCTCGAACCCACGACCCTGAGATTAAGAGTCTCATGCTCTACCGACTGAGCTAGCCGGGCTGGTTAGCACACTGCTGAAACATGGCTTTACAAAGCTACAAATACATCATGTATACATAACAATTGCCAAAGCACTGAAACAATGAGTTTCACGGCTGATGTTAACAATCTCGACTAGCCTACACAGAAAAAAATGTACGAATAAACGCAGCTAAAATCATGGGAAGTCAGAATTGTTTCACTGCCTATCCCCCTGCGATACATACTGAAAACTCAATATCCACAGCTTCATTAAGAAAGACTAGGAACAATAATTTCACAAATCCAAATATTCTACTTCACTCCTATGCTTTTCAGAATACAGATTTACCTGCTGGCTGGTAGTGTTCGTACACTGAAGTGGGTTTTTAAAAGGCCACTGAAACACCCCAGTCTCTGTGGCGCAATCGGTTAGCGCGTTCGGCTGTTAACCGAAAGGTTGGTGGTTCGAGCCCACCCAGGGACGGAGGCTCTTTTGTTATACAACCTGCAGTGTTCTTCTAAGGTGGCTTGTAAATGCATTCATTTTATAACATGTTCTACAAAAACCTCATAATGACAATTACCATCAGACTGACATTCCCACAAGAACACTACAACAGCACTGTCTCTGTGGCGCAATCGGTTAGCGCGTTCGGCTGTTAACCGAAAGGTTGGTGGTTCGAGCCCACCCAGGGACGCAGGCCTTCTTATTATGTCTCACTTGCTAATGGTAAATACTAAGTGATAACACACATGGAAATTGGTTGACAAAGACACGTAGCCTTAACATAAACTATACTAGTGTCCTCTGTACTGACTTGTGTCATTTACCAAAACCCCTTCAATTTTCTCTTCATCTTCACTTACATTCCTTGTTGTACATCATTCGGCCAGTACAGCAC